CATTTTAAGAGCAAGGGATATAGTTGCTAAGTGGGATGTTTACTGATGGACAAGTGAGGAAAAGAATGAGGGCAACAGAAACCCTAAGCAAAGAAAAAGACTTAAAATCTCAGTGGCCATTTGGTGGATCATTTACTTATAGGTCAAGGAGACTTCTTTGGGTTGTTTCGTAAGTCCTCCGGGGGTTCACAGGTGTGGTTGTCCTTCTGGCATTCCTGCAGAGGTTCAGGAAAGAAAGTTTTATTCTACATAAATGTGTCCAGGATTATATATCAGGTAGCTTGACTGCGGTGGGAGTGGCAAGCAAGATCTGGTAGGACCTTTCCATTTTGGAGTTAACTGGTCCCCTGGGGAGCTTTCCTTCCAAGTCTTAAGAAGGACCCAGTCCCATGAGATATATTGGGCCTATGAGAGGATGTGTTCCTGGGGATGGAAAGATTTAATTGCCTTATTTTTGGAGAGCCTGTTGCGCCTATCCTAGATTTGTTACAGAATTTACCAGGTGACCGAAAAATACACAGGAGTAGCCAGAGATACAGGAAAAACCCATTTATTTCCAGATGTACTATTACCGTGACTCAAGGGAGCCTATTTCCAGATCCTGAGCGAGCCAATATGGAGGAAGCTTTCTCTGTATACCCTTTTGTTTCTTTGTCTCCCAAATAAGGATCAGACTTCTGGACCTTTTGTGGGCTTTGCAAAAAGCCCCATGTGTTGGGATGGGGGCCGTGAGACCACACCTAAAGGCCTGCCTGGCACCAGCACTGATAACCCCCTCCGGGGGTTGTGTATTGTTCATGGTTTATGGCCTCTGTAAAATGTGAGTATTTAGGTAAACAGGTCTTGCAAGATCTGATAATTATGGGAAGGGGCTGTGACTAGACTACAGGCAGTCCTCGGGTTACATCGGATTCGACATACGTCGTTTCGTGGTTACATCGCCAAAAAAGTTCCGTCATTTTGACGTATGTACATATGTGCTTTATGTTTTTTATTATTTATTTACCACAAGCAAAGGTCAGGAATTGTTATCTTTCTTTAACATTTTTTTTTTACTGTTTCACTTCATTACTGCTGTGTATGTGCTTCACGTGAGTGACGTAGTTGCTTATGTAGGTGGGTTCCGACTTACGACGAAAATCACATTATGTCGCGCCGTAGGAACGGATCTCCGGCGTAACCAGAGGACCTACTGTGTAGGCTAACAGGAATGTGCATTAGGGATACTAATTAACTAGGTACAGAGTAAGGCTGCTGGACTCCCTCCCCCCACTCCAAAAAAAAAAAAAAAGTCTTATTTTTCTCATGAGGTTGATGATATATTTAAGTTGCTCCTAGACTTCTGGGTCAAAATATATGTCAGAGGTTAGGAAGGGCCTCCTGTATAACATATTAAAAGGGCTTAGTTCTAAGTTTGACTTGGGAGCTCCTCTGTACCCCTGGCATAATTTTGCTAGGATTTTCTTTAAGGTATGCTTAGCCTTTTCTACCTTTTCTGAAGACAGGCCTTTATGAACTATGTAAATGGAGGTTAATGTCTAGGGCTTTGGCTGTTTGTTGGGTGATTTTGGCCACAAAGAAAGGACCCAGGTGATCGTACAGTAAAATAAAAATGTTTGTCACTTTGGAGGCTTCGGGGCAGTCTAAACCTTGGAATGATTTCCTTAAGGACGACTCTGGTTACCTCCACTGCCTTTTCAATCAGGATGGGAAAGGCCTCTACCCATCAAGTAAAAGTGTTTATGAATACTAGGAGATAGCAGATATCCTGGGAGGGAGGCATTTGTATAAAATCTATTTGCCAATCTTCTTCTGGGAAGGTACCCCTTCTCTGCATGTGCTTAAGAAGATGGTGGTGGGGTGCTGGACTTTATTTTATGCCCTGGCTTGTTAACTGAAAAGAGAACACAGGCTTGAGTGACTTCTTTTATGGCTCAAGATAGGCCCCTCCCAATGAAGATTTTTTACATTAAAGAATAGGTGGCATCTTAACCTAGATGGAGAAAATCATGAAAGGATTTTATAATTTTCCATTGCTCCTTAGTTGGGAACAGCAGATTTTTTATCTCTGATCTACCATCCTTCATTGTTTAGGGGAAAACTTTGCCCTTCTGCCGAGGTGTTTTCATCAGGGGCATAACTTGGTTTGATGTACAGAGGAAAATATATAGAATTAGGGCCATAATAGAGGTATCTGACTTGGCAGCCTCCTTTGCAGCCCTGTCAGCAAGGGGATTTCCTTTTCAGTGGTTCTCAACCTGTGGGTCACGAACAATGAAAATACATCCTGCGTATCAGATATTTACATTACGATTCATAACAGTAGCAAAATTACAGTTATGAAGTAGCAACAAAAATAATTTTATGGTTGGGGGTCACCACAACATGAGGAACTGTATTAAAGGGTCGAGGCATTAGGAAGGTTGAGAACCACTGCTAGAGTTCAGATATTTTAGTTGTGTTTCTTTGATGTCCCTTACAGTGCTGCATGGCTACTTCTCGGGGTAGTTTTGTTTTTGTTTTTGTTTTTATGAATATATATCTTTATTGATTTCAGGGAGGATGGAAGAGGGAGAGAGAGAAAGAAACATCGATGATGGGAGAGAACCATTGATCAGCTGCCTCCTGCACACCCCACACTGGGGATCGAGCCCACAACCTGACCATATGCCCTGACCAGGAGTCAAACCATGACCTCCCTCAAATGTATTCTCTCTCACTCAAAATATTTTATTTTACTGTACTTACCCTTCTTGTGACTATGTAAGATGATAAAATGCCTTTATGATGACATGAAGAGAGGTGAATGAGACATTATTGAGTAAAATAAGTGTTACTTGAACAAAAGCACCTAGGTACTACGTCAGTCTGATAACCAATCTGATAACTTAGATGCCTCCTAAGTGATTAACAGGAGGGGAGCATATACAGTGTGGATACCCTGGACAAAGGAATGATTCATGTTTTCAGTCCGTGGTTGACCTTGGATAACTGAAATGACAGAAAGCAAAACTGCAGAAAAGGGGGGACTGCTATAGATTGAAATAAATCAGAGGCTCTTACAAGAATTGTGCATAAGTTGTGTATGAAGCATTAGAGCCAGAGTGGTGTTGGCAAAGGAATAGGAAGTAAAGGCTGATTAGACTATTTGCTGGTAAGATTCCCTTCGGGAGTCTAAAATGGCATTTTGTCCAAGGAACCCAGAAACACTCATATTTTGCTCTTGACAGTTGTTCCTTTCTTCAAATTTCCTAAGAGAGAATGTGAGTACAGGTCAGGAATCAGCAAAACATAATACCATTTTTTTCCTTTATTGATTAAGGTATTACATATGTGTTCTTATCCGCCCATTGGCCCCCCACCCCCCACCCCCACTGAGTGTATGCCCTCAACCCCCTGCATACACGTCCTTTGGTTGATCTCTCCCCCTTACCCCCACCCTCTCCCCTACCTTCCCTCTGAGGTTTGACAGTCTGATCGATGCTTCTTTGTCTCTGGATCTGTTTTTGTTCATTAGTTTATGTTGTTCATTATATTCCATAAATGAGTGAGATCATATGATATTTATCTTTCTCTGACTGGCTTATTTCGCTTAGCATAATGCTCTCCAGTTCCATCCTGGACCTGGAAATGGTAAGAATTCCTTCTTTTTTACTGCAGCGTAGTATTGCATTGTGTAGATGTACCACAACCTAGAACAAACTCTCCAAAAATTCATCTGGAATAAAAAAAGACCCGAATGGCTGCAGCAATCCCGAGAAAGAAGAACAAAGTAGGAGGGATCTCAATACCAGATATCAAGCTGTATTACAAAGCCACTATTCTCAAAACTGCCTGGTCCTGGCATAAGAACAGACATATAGACCAATGGAATAGAATAGAGAACCCAGAAATCAACCCAAACCACTATGCTCAATTAATATTTGACAAAGGAGGCAAGAACATACAATGGAGTCAAGACAGCCTCTTCAATAAATGGTGTTGGGAATATTGGACAGATATATGCAAAAAAGTGAAACTAGACCACCAACTTATACCATACACAAAAATAAACTCTAAATGGATAAAGGACTTAAACATAAGACGGGAAACCATAAAAATCTTAGAGGAATCCACAGGCAGCAAATCTCAGACATATGCCAAAGCAATATCTTCACCGATACAGCATAATAACATTTTATTTCAATTGAGGTTCTGATTCCAAATGACCTTGTAGGTTGGACTCCATGGAGCCCTCCATTTCTCAAACTTCACTGCTCCAGAGTGATGAAGTCATTTTCACTTGAGCAAACAAAACTGGAACAAGAGAAAGTGTTTGCCCCATTGCTTTTAGAGAATATTTCCTTTTCTCTCCCAAGGCTTTCTCAGGCAAGTTCCTCTAAGTCATGGCCCCACATATGAAAGAAGAGAGGGGAGAAGAGAGAGATGAGATTCTCTGTTCCTGCTTTTCTTTCCTACTTGGAGGAAAGAAACAGGAGAAAGGCCATATCCTTGTAAACTTGATCTTTAACTAGACATAATGATGCCACGTGTCCAATAAAGTGTTCTTACAATTGAACAACATTATCAGTACTCATCTTTCTAGCAGAGGAAGGAGCCTTAATATTGTGGGCAGTGGGAAGGAGGGATATTTGAAGCTGGAGACTATGAGTCCCTACCTGGACATCAACAGATGGGTAAGATGAATTAGAGAGGATCATGAATACCAAACAGAAGAGGTTCAACTTTTTTTTGTTGTTTGAATCCTCACCTGAGTACATGCTTAGAGAGAGAGAAACATCGATGTGAGAGAGAAACATTGATCAGTTGCCTTTGTACACACCCTGACCGGGGATTGAACCTACAACCCAGGTATGTGCTCTGACCAGGAATTGAACTGGCAGCCTTTTGGTGGATTGACGATGCTCCAACCAATTGAACCACTCTGGCTGGGCAGAGGTTCAACATTAAAAAAAAAATTCTCACTTCATGTTGAATGTTAAATTTTCTTTTCATTTTAGGAATTGGAGAATGACACAGCTTTTCAGCAAGCTGTGAGAACCAATCATGGCAGAAGACCTCCAGTAAGTAAATTACTTTTATTGTGATAAAAAACACATAATAAAATTTACCATCTTAACCATTTTTGAGTGTACAGTTCAGTTATTGTTAAATATATTTATTCTCATTGTTATGAAACTGATCTTCAGAACCTTTTCATCTTCCCAAACTGAAACTCTGTTCCCATTAAACAACTTCCCATTTCCTTTCCCCCTGTCCCTGGCACTGCCCTTCTACTTTCTGTTTCTATAAAGTTGACTACTTTTTGATACATCATATATGTGGAATCATACAGTATTTGTCTTTTTGTTACTGGCTTATTTCACTTAGTATAATGTTCTCAAGGTTCACCCATGTGAAAGGATTTCCTTCCTTTTTAAGACTGAGTAATAGTCCACTGTGTGGAGAGACCACATGTTGTTCTGTGGACACTTGGGTTGCTTCCACTTCTTAGCTATTGTGAATACCAGGTGTACCGGTTACTAATGCGGATTTTGTAATCAAAGAAAACATGATAATTTCAAGAGAAACATCAAAAGTGCTTTATTCAAAGTAATGTCCATAGCTAGCTACACATTTCCCCCATCTTTCAGGTAATTTGTGAACACCGTCCCAATAGAACTTTTCTTGTTTTGAGGCAAACCATTCAGAGACCCAATTTTCCACTTTTGTGTGTGTTTTGAAGTGCTGCTCAGAAAGTGCGTGTGCCATTGATCGGAACAGGTGGTAATCTGAAGTAGCAAGGTCTGGTGAATACAGCGGGTGGGTTAATACTTCCCAGGCAAGATCTTTTATCATGTCTTTAACTGGTTTTGAATTGTGTGATTGTGCGTTATCATGAAGCACTCACAAGTATCTGAGATAGAGCATGTTCACCATAAGCTTCCTGAAGTATACAATAACTTTCTTCAAAATAAAGTAATGAATTAAAACTTCCCGCAAATGCTCTTTTTTTGCAATGAAATTCGACATTTTTAAACGTAAAAATATCTATAATGTTAACACCTTCAGCAAATTTGACATATGAAGTTTTGAAGCTTGCTGTCAACACAACAAAATAGCATACATATCAAATCACATAAATATCAACATATGTGTAACTCCATCTATTGAAAAAAAATCTGCATTACTAACTGGTACATCTAGTATGCTGCTGTGAACATGGCTGTGCACATATTTCAAGACTCTGTTTTCAATCCTTTAGATAAATACCCAGAGGTGGAATTGCTGGAACATATAGTTCTATTTTTAATGTTTTTAGGAACTTCCTCACCCTTTTCCATAGTGACTGCTCCATTTTACAATCCCAGTAACAGTGTACAAGCATTCTAATTTCTCTACATCCTTGCCAACACATATTATTTTATATTTTTCTGAGAGTAGCAATTTTAATAGGTCTGAGGTGATTCTCATTGTGGTTTTGATTTGCATTTCTCTGATGATTAATGATGTTGAGTATCTTTTCATATGCTTGTTGGTCATTTGTATATCATCTTTGAAAAAATGTCTAGTCAATGTCTTTGCTCATTTTTAAGTAGGTTATTTGATTTTTTGTTATTGTGTTCTAAGAGTTCTTTATATATTCTGGATATCAACCCCTTACCAGATTAATGATTTGCAAATATATTATCCACTCTGTAAGCCTTTTCAATGTGTTGATTATGTCCTTTGATGCACAAAATTTGTTGTATTATATATTTCTATTTGTCTATTTTTGCTTTTGTTGCCTGTGCTTTTGTTGTCATATCCAAGAAATCATTGCTAAGTCCAATGTCATTAAACTTTTCCCCTATGTTTTCTTCTAGGAGTTTTATAGTTTTAGGTCTTATGTTTAGGCCTTTTATCCATTTTGAATTAACTTTTGTATATGGTTTAAGATAAAGGTCTAACTTTATTCTTTTGCATGTGGATATCCAGTTTTCCCACTGTTGGAAAGACTGACCTTTCCTCATTGTGTGGTCTTGGCACCCTTGTTGAAGATAATTTGACCATATACACAAGGGTTTTTTTCTGGGCCATTTATTCTGATTCATTGGTCTATTTGGTTTTAAACCAGTACCTCCCTATTTTTGTTACCATAGCTTTGTAATCTGTTTTGAAATCAGGAAGAATGAGTTTCCTAATTTTGTTCTTCTTTTTAAAAATTCTTTTGGCTAATCAGGATCCCTTGAGATTTCAAATAAATTTTTTTATTTCTTTAAAAAATGGCATCGGGATTTTGGTAGGGATTGGATTGAATTTATAGACTGCTTTTGGTGCTATAGACATCTTAACAATAGTAAATTTTTGAATCCATGAACATGGGATGTTTTGCATTTATTTGTCTTACCTTTAATTTCTTTTAGCAATGTTTTATAATTATATTTTAGATCAAAAATTTGTTATGCTTTTGAGAATATAAATTTTATTTATGTAAGATTTGGAATATGTTTACCTAAATCACTCATTGTTTAAAAATATTTGTAATTTTTAAAGTTACATAAATATTGATCCTTCAAAAAATTGGGGCTTAATTTACAAATTACTCTTCTCTTGGATTAATGATCCTCCATTAATTATATTCCATCAGCATATGAATTGCTAGAGTGATATTTTTCAGTATTATTAAAATTTTTGTGTATGTCATGCAAAGCATAGACATCTAACTTGCACAGTGTATGGAATCTGCCAACTCTCTTTTGTAGTTGAAAACAAACAGGTTGATAAGTGAAATATAGAAAATTCTGTAAGAAAGAGTATAAATTGTTATGGGACCATAAAGAAAGGATATTTGTCGCTGGGACAATCAGAAGAGGCTACTTAGGATAAATTTACAGTTGAATATTAAAGGGTATGTACAGTTAAGACTGACCTTGAGATATGGGAGGAAAGGTATGACACATCAGGGTGTAGGTGAATAAAGGAAGAGACAGGGTAGGCTCTACTTTATCTGAAGAGATCTGACCAATGCTTAAAAAAAAAACACACCCCAAAAAACAGATTTAGTTATTTGTAAGTAGTTGAAAAAACACACACAACTTTCTTTCCTTCAGTTTGTTCTCATAGAAAAAAGTCCTGAGACTCTATCCTTTTCAGCTTTTTCTAAGATCTGTTATGTAAATTAATCAAGTTTTTAATGTGTGTGTGTGTTTGTTTGTGTGTGTGTGTGTGTGTGTGTGTGTGTGTGTGTGTGTGTTTAGTGTCTTATATTTTTACTGATTTGGGGGGAAAGGGTTTTGTTAATGAGAAAGATATGGTCAAATTTTATATTATGATTATGGATTTTTTTTAGTTTTTTGCTTTATATATTTGGAGTAAAAATATTTAGAAATGTTATATTTTCATGGTAAATTGAGCCTTTTATTGCTATGAGATGTCTTTCTATCTCTAGTAATTCTGTTTGTCTACTTTGTCAGTTATTAGTATACTGATATAGCTATACCACCTTCCTTTTGTCTAGTGTTTTCATGATATGTCTTTCCTAGTCTTTAACTTCCAACCTTTCCATATGCATTTATTTATTAGCAGCATGTGATTGAGTTTTGCTTTTAAAATACAGTCTGATAACCATATTTTTTTTGGTGAATTATTTAGTCCATTTGCATGTAATGAAATTACTGGCTTGGCTTCAATTTGTTGTGTTACTATTTACTTTTCAAATTTTCTGCCTTTTTTATGTTTCATTTTCTTTCTTGTCTGCTTTTGTTTGTTTTTTATTTCCATTTTCCCCCATTGTTATCTTGGGAGTTTACTTCTATAAAAATTCTTTTAGTGTTTTCCTAAAGATTATAATACTCATCTTTAACTTATTAAAGTCTGGTATAAATTAGTATTTTACTGTTTCCTGGACAATGCTAGAATTTTATATTATTTTCAGTTACTTTTCAGTTCTAGAATTTCTATTCTTTTTTTATACTTTCCCATTCTCTGCTGAAATTATCGATCTTGTGTTTTAGCTCAGTGGACATATTAAGCATATTTATGTTAAAATTTGTGTCTGATATTTTCATTATATGTATCACCTTCTGGGTTCTTTTCATTCTTTTGTTTTTCTTGGCTTTTGGTTAGGTAGTTTTGCCTCATTTATGTCTAGTTATTTTTGATTGAATGCCAGACAGTGTAAATGAAAAATTTGAGAGTTAATTTAAGGCCATATGTCTGTGCTGTCCAGTATGATAAACACTGGCCACATGTGGCAAGTTACATTTAAATTATTTAAAATTAACTACAACTTAAAAATTCAGATCCTTGTTACGCCAGCCACTTTTCAAATGTTCAGCAGCAACATGTGGCTAGTAGCTATCTCATCAGACAGGGCAGTCATGGAATGTTTCCATCAGTGCAGAAAAGTTCTACTGGATAACACAGCCAAAAGTGATCTCATCTTTCAGTAGAGAGAATTTACTCTTGCTTATGGCCTTCGAGATACTAGAAATCCTGGATCGCCCTTATCCATTTGAGTTTGAGATGATCCTAAATTGGACTTTAGTCCTTACAAGGGTTGTTATACTTCTAACTTACTTTTCAGTCTTAGCCTTTTGAGATCACAGTCTAAAGCTGGGAGAATTACAAGGACAGCCACCTTGGCAGGCCCCCAACTCCAATGTTTATCTCCTCAGGCCTGTGAGTCTACAAAAAGCTATGCACAGCTTCTCAGCCATGTCTTTGGAACAAGCAGATGCCTATAGGACAGTGGTCAACCTGTGGGTCGCGACCCCTTTCACAGGAGTCACCTAAGACCATCCTGCATATAAGATATTTACATTATGATTCATAACAGTAGCAACATTACAGTTATGAAGTAGCAACGAAAATAATTTTATGGTTGGGTCACAACATGAGGAACTGTATTTAAAGGGCCAGAAGGTTGAGAACCACTGCTATAGGAGAAAAGCAGAACCTAATGCTGGCTCACTTCTCCAGCCTTCCCCTTTCCTCAACTGGAGACTTGCAATTCTTCACTGCCTTAATGATTCTCTAATGTATTTAAACTGATATTTTACAAAAATATTTTTGTACTCAGCTTTTTAATTCTTAGTGGCAATGTTATTTAAAACAGTAGCCCATCATAGCAAGAAGTAGAACTTATCTATTGATGTTTTAATCAAATATTGCAAACAGCCCTAGCTGGTTTGGCTCAATGGATAGAGCTTCAGCCTGCAGACCAAAGGGTCCTGGGTTCAGTTCCCGTCAAGGGCACATACTTTGGTTGCAGGCTCCTCTCCCACCCAGTCCCTGGTCAGGGTTCATGCAGGAGGCCACCAATCAATGTTTCTCTCACATCAATGTTTCTTTCTCTGTCTTTCCCTCTCTCTTCCACTCTCCCTAAAAATCAATGGAAAAAATTCCTCAGGCAAAGATTAACAAAAAAACAACAAATACGTTAAACAATATGCCTAACAACTGACATGTTTAGGTCAGTTTCACCTACATGGTCCTGTTTGATTCCAACTATAGTATTGTGATCAACATACATACCTTGTATCCTTATTTCAAAGATGAGAAATTTTAGATTCAAAGAGATTAAATAAACTCAGTTAGTAGAAGGAAGAGCTGAGATTTGAACCCAGATTCTCTGACTCCAAATCCTGTCTATAGTTAGACCTAGTGGCTGGCAGTAATAAGAATGCATGATGAATGATGGAAGCAACCATGAAAACTGATCATTCCTATTGGCACTTCAGGTCATTCTCAAGTTCCCTTTCTCCTGTAAAATGAATTCCAGAATAAGTCTCCTACTCAATATCTAAAATTCCTAAGCTCCTTAATATGTAGGATAATTTAAAAGGTAATTATTCTAAGTATTATATTAACGTTTCTCTATTGATAAATCTATATTTTACACTTCTTTTCCACTTTTCTATTATGTAGCTTAATCTGAATTCTATTAACTATGTTTCTTTCTCCTCTCCCCAAGATAACTGCTAAAATACCAAGCACAGCAGTTACTAGACCTGTAGCTACTGGATATGGGGTAGGTTTTCTTAAGCTGAAAATATTAAGATGCTTTTTTGTGTACATAAATTCATTTTAGGCAGTTCTAAGCAATTTGAGCTATTTTTCAGTCCATGAACCAGATATAGTTTCTATTTTGAATAGTTGCAAACATTGTAAAAATCTTATTTAACAGCTTTAAATATTCTAGTCCTTTTGATTGTGAATATATCAGAAAATATTTTATTACCTTTTCTATTTGTAAACCTTGTGTTTGTTGATCCACTTCCTTTCATTTTTTTATATAATATGACCAAGTCTCATGTGTATTCCATTCATACATTTTATTTGAAGTTATATAATAAATATGTTTGTAATTTTAAAAAACTTACTAATTAATGCATTAAAAAGTAAAATTTAAGAAAATTTTCAAAGGCATATATTTGGGCCTTGCTCTTATTTGAGATTTTTGGAGGAAGGATGCTATATAAAAAATCCATAAAGGAAAATCTTTTATATATTGCCCAAATTTTGATGTTTTAGCTTACATGAAAAAATAGAGGAATGAGAGAACGAGGTGGGATATCATTTCCCAGTCCTTATGATAATATTTCTTAGAGGTCAGAAAAATGATTTCAGAACTGAGGTCCAGGGCAGTTGCCTTCATACTGTCCCTTTATATGAATGAAAAAAGTAGCCTTATCTATAAAACCCTAATATGCAAATAGACCAAACAGTGGAACAACCAAACAACCGAACAACCGGTCGCTATGACATGCGCTGACCACCAGGGGGTACACACAGAATATGGCAGGCGTCAGCAGCAGGTGGCAGAGCGCAGAACATAGTGGGCATTGGCCGCAGTGGGATGGTGGAGCAGGTGAGCAGGGGTGCCAGACCAAGGCGGGATGCCGGTCACTGTCATTGGTGCGAGCCTCTGGTGGTTAATGAAAATTCTTTGCTCCTGCACACCACGGTCCTGCCCGGTGTTCACACCTGCTCCTGGCAACAGCCCCGCTCGCACCCACAGCTGGCGCCGGAGCTGCCACTCGCACCCGCTGCTGGGGCCCAGCACCAGTCCTGATCGCTTGGCGCCATCAGCGGGTGCGAGCAGCAGCTGCTGGCCCCCATCACCCCCGAGGGCTTCTCCACCTCCCCCTGCTCCTGAGGGGTGATTGGGGCAGCAGCCACTGCTCGCACCCACTGCTGGCACCAGCCCCAATCATCAGCAGTGGACCAGAGGCTGCAAGGGAGGGGGGGCAGGTGGGGCCACGGAGGATGGGCCGAGACCTGCCCCTGTGCCCACAGCAGCCTCGTGGCACACAGTTCCCTTTCAAGGTGCACGAATTTGTGCACTGGGCCCCTAGTATATAATATAACTGTGTGTCTTATGAAGCATGGTTTTATTAATCAGCCTATACATGTATTACCCATAAACTTGGTTTTTGGTGATGTTTCAGAACAGGAGACAGCAAACATATTCTGTGAATGGCCAGGCAGTTTAGGCTTCCAGGTCAGACAGTCTATTGCAAGTACCGAGTCTGAATTCCTAGTGCAGGAATGTCCACAGATAGGTGTGGCTGTGTTTCAATGAAACTTTATTTACAAAGGCTGAGGGTTGTTGTTTGCTGATGCCTGCTTTAGAGTTTTACAGTTTGACCCTATGTCCTCAGATGATACATGGAAAAAATTATATTTAAGTTCATTTGCCAATAGAATGAAGGAAAAGTTATGAAAAACTTGTATAATTTCATTTATAAAATTAAGTGTAGATTTTTAAAAATTGTTTTAACTTAGTTTTCTGTTTACTAGTCCAAGACATCCCTGACATCATCAATGGGAAGACCAGTGACAGGGGCTATCCAGGTATCTCCGTTGTGTGGTTGTTCATTTGGGGCCTCTCTTGTGACTTAGAATATTACCAACATTTTCTTTTCTTTATTATATTATTTGAAATGTTGAAGGAGATATTACTGATATAATTACCCTGATTCTTTAAAGTGTGGGCTACAGATTGGACTGTTTGAAATCTTTGGAGGCAGAGTCTCTGGACTTACTGAGGTCTCAGATGAAATTCTACTGGGGAGTACACATGAACTGATGGTTAGATTGTATGGTGTACCCTGGGACCCATTTTTTCTGTGCTGTCATTTACAACCATATCTTTGGTTTCTCTCATGGGCATGGAGGATACCAACCAAAAGTAGGGGAATAGCCAGCTAATAGGCTATATAAGGTGCTATATAAAAATCTATGAGGTGTTTTTTTTTTTTCTTTCAAATGGAGTAAGCCCAGTTAAATCTAGGAATTATAAATTTATAAGGGAGCCTTGCCGGTTTAGCTCAGTGGATAGAGCATCAGCCTGAGGACTGAAAGGTACCAGGTTCGAGTATGGTCAAGGACACGTACCTTTTTTTTTTTTTTTTAATAGATTTTATTGATTTTTCACAGAGAGGAAGGGAAGGGGATAGAGAGTTAGAAACATTGATGAGAGAGAAACATCGATCAGCTGCCTCTTGCATACCCCCGACTGGGGATGTGCCTGCAACCAGGGTACATGCCCTTGGCCGGAATCGAACCCGGGACCCTTCAGCCCGCAGGGCGATGCTCTATCCACTGAGCCAAACCGGTCAGGGCAAGGGCACGTACCTTGATTCCGGTTGCAGGCTTGGTCCCTGCCTAGCGCTTGAGGGAGGCAACCAATCAATGTGAACATCGATGTTTCTCTCTCTCTGTCTCTCTCCCTCCCTTCCACTCTCCCTAAAAATCAATAGAAAAATATCCTTGGATGAGGGTTAACGCCCCCTCCCTCCCCCAAAAAAGGAAAAGATAAGAAAAAGAAAAACATTTATAGGGGAAAATGAAAATAGAGACAGAGTTGACATAGAGGAGCAGAAGTACAGAATTAAACATTGCAGTTAGCCCTGGTGGCATGGCTCAGTGGTTAGAGCATCAGCCTGTGAACCAATGGTCTCAAGCTCGATTTCAGTCAAGGACATATCCCTGGGTTGCAGGTTCCCCGCCCCGGGGATGCAGGGCGAGTGCAGGAGGCAACCAATTGATGTAGGTCCCTCACATCAATATTTTTCTCTCTCTCCTCTCTCCCCCTTCCTTCTCCCTTCTGCTCTCTCTAAAATCAATGGAAAAAATATCCTCCAGTGAGGATTCACAAAAATAAAAATTGCAGTTATGTGTCATTTGCAGAACTGTAAGTACTTTTAAATTATTCCTATTCTTTTAAGGATGGAGTTACTAGACCTATGACAGCAGTGAGAGCAGCTGGTTTTACCAAAGCAGCTTTGAGAGGTTTGTCTCTATTAACTTTTTTTCAGATCTTTTAATATTTTTTACTGTTTTTGTATGTGTAAATATTGTTACCATTTTAAATCTAACATTCCATCGATTAGAAAGTGCGTCATTATTTTAAGTACCATAAGAAAGGAAAGAGGTGATGAAAATACTCTGCATCACAATTGGGGTGGTAGTTGCACTGGCATGTAATTCGTCAAATTGTACATTAAAATTTCTTTTTATTTTTTATAAATTAGAGCTCATTTTTAAAAATTAAAAGTTAAAATGGTATTTAAATATATGATAAATGATTTTAAAATAAAATTATTAGGATAAAAATTAATGTTTATTATATAAATAAGGACAATTAAAAAGCCAATGCCAAGTTATTATTCACATGATTGATAATTTAGAGTTCATAATGGGAATAGATTATTGCGGAAGATGAGTAAATACTGAGAGAGCATCTCATTTTTGTTTTTTTATGTTAACACACAAGTTTACATAGTTTTATGTATGTTAAAAATCTCATCAATTTCTTTATATACAAATGTTTATGTAGATATAACGAATGTCCTGCCTATTTAATAAAAAGGTAATCTGAATCTTTTAATAAATTATTAAATAACATGTGCAAGATTTCATATTTTCTTCAGTTATGCTGGGTCGCAGATTAAATATGAACTCTTGAATTGTGTCTCAGGTTCTGCATTTGACCCCCTTGGTCAGTCAAGAGGCCCTGCTCCTCCTTTGGAAACCAAGAACGAAGATAGGTACGTAAGTCCTTATGCTGTTGTTTTATTGTTGCACCTATAAAATTTTTCCAAGTAAGTATTTTAAAAGTTTGTGTCACCAAAATAGTAATTACAATATCATCCCTAGTTCTTGGAATTAGGAAAAGAATCAAACCTAATAAAAATAGCCATGTGTATCCTGTATAGTTTTATTATATTACTAGAGGCCTGGTCCACAGATTTGTGCACCAGTGAGGTCCCTCGGCATAGCCTGCAGGGATCAGGCTGAAACCAGCAGTCCAACACTGCCTGCCGTTCCTTCCTGCTGCTCCTACTCATCCCGGCCCCGCTGCACCTGCTGCCGCCACTCTTCAGTAGGCTCGCTGCCACTCTGCTGTGGTCTCTGGGCTGCAGCGGCCACTGTGAGCCCTGTGTCTGGCGCCCGTCGGTCAGCAGAGTGGCACATCAGATGTGGGAGTGCAATGACCGTCAGGGAGCAGCTCCTGTATGGAGTGTCTGTCCCCTGGTGGTCAGTGTTTGTCATAGCGACTGGTCATTCGGTCATTCCACCTTAATGGTCGTTTAGGCTTTTATATATATACTAGAGGCCCGGTGCACAAAAGTTTGTGCACTCGGGGGGGAGGGGGGGTCCCTCAGACCGGCCTGTGCCCTCTCGCAGTCTGGGACCCCTCGGGAGATAACGACCTGCTGGCTTAGGCCTGCTCCCGGGTGGCAGAGGGCAGGCCCAATCCCTAGGTGCAGCCCCTGGTCGGGCTCAGGACAGGGCCAATTGGGTAGTTGGGGCGCCGCCCACGTCATGCACAGAGTAGGGCGGATTGGGAGGTTGCGATACACCCTCAGTAACGCTCAGGGTAGGGCCGATTGGGGGGTTGGGGCACCACCTCCTGTCACACTCAAGGCAGGGCCGATGGGGAGGTTGCGGCACCACCCCCTGTCATGCACAGAGCAAGGTCGATCAGGGGGTTGGGGAGCTCCCCCCTGTCATGCACAGAGCAGGGCCGATCAGGGGGTTGAGGAGCTCCCCCCGGTCACTCACAGAGTAGGGCCGATAGGGGAGTTGGGGCACCGCCCCCTGTCACACACAGAGCAGGGTGGATCAGGGGGTTGGGGCGCCACACCCTGTCACACTCAGGGCAGGGCCGATGGGGAGGTTATGGCTCTACCCCGTCACACACAGAGCAGGGCCCGTGGGGAGCAGTTGGGGCACCGCCCTCTATCACCCACAGATCAGGGCCGATCAGGGGGTTGGGGCGCCGCCACTGTCACACACAGAGCCGCAGGGCGATCAGGGGGTTGGGGAGCGCCCCCCTATCAGGCACAGAGCAGGGTTGATCAGGGGGTTGGGGCGCCTTCCCCTGTCACGAACAGAGTAGGGCGGATAGGGAGGTTGTGGCCCCGCCCCCTCTCACACACAGAGCCGCAGGGCGATCAGGGGGTTTGGGCGCTGCCCCTGTCACGCTGATCCTGGTGCGGGATCCCTCGCGGCTCTGCTGATCCCGGTGCTGGGAGGCATATTACCCTTCTACTATATAGGATAGAGGTCTGGTGCACGGGTGGGGGCCGGCTGGTTTGCCCTGAAGGGTGTCCTGGATCAGGGTGGGGGTCCCGCTTGGGTGCCTGGCCAGCCTGGATGAGGGGATGATGGCTGTTTGCAACTGGTCACACCCCCTTCAGGGTGAGGGTCCCCACTGGGGTGCCTGGCCAATCTGGGTGAGTGGCTGAGGGCTGTTTTCAGGCTGGTGGGTGACTGAAGCTCCCAACCTCTCCTTTTTTTCTTTTTTTTTTATTCTGGGCCAGCTTTAGCTCTGAGGCTTGGCTCCAGCTCTTAGGCCTCAGCTGCTGAAAGCAGGTATCTGGTTTGTTTGGGTTTTATAATTGAAACACTGTTTCAACTCCAGCTCTGAGATGCCGGCTGGCTGAAAGCAGGTGTCTGGGGTTTTGTTTAGCTTCTATATTTGTAACAATGTTTCAAACTGCAAGCTCAGAGGCCGGCAGCGGCAGGCGGGGAACCTGGCTTCCCCCCGTCACTGGAGCAAGCAAGCCTTATGTTTGCTTCAAGCTGCCTGGCTGCTGGCCGCCATCTTGGCTGGCAGTTAATTTGCATATCACCCTGATTAGCCAATGGGAAGGGTAGTGGAGGTACGGCTAATTACCATGTTTCTCTTTTATTAGATAGGATACTAGAGGCCCGGTGCACGAAATTCGTGCACTGGGGGGTGGGGTTCCCTCAGCCCAGCCTGCCCCTCTCACAGTCCGGGAGCCCTCAGTGGATGTCCTACTGATGGCCACAGTCTGGCAGCAGAGGCTCGGAGCAAGCGTCCTGTGTGTGTGTGTGTGTGTGTGTGTGTCTGCTAGAGCCTGCCCCCAGCCACGCCACGTAGGCTCGAAGCAGTTGCTGTATGTGTGTGTGTATGTGTGTGTGTGTCCCCACTGTGGGTCTGCCCCCAGCCACATTGGAGGCTCAGAGCAGGCACTGTGTGTGTGTGTGTGTGTGTGTGTCTGCTGGGGGCCTGCCCCCATCCACACCATGGAGGCTTGGAGCAGGAGCCCCTCTGTGTTGATCTCTCAGGCTCCTGGCCTCCACTGCATGTTGTACTCTCCCTTGAGCTATGGCCAGGATGGGGGTGCTGCTTGCAAGCCGGGCTTTCCTGCTGCCGGATCGCCATGGCGACCGGGGAGCAGGCCCAGCTTGGAGCTGCCCACAGGCCGGGCTTGCTCTCCTGCTCCCGGATCCTCATGGCGACCAGGGAGAAGGCGCAGCTGGGGGCTGCCCACAGGCCGGGCTTGCTTTCCTGCTCCCAGATCAGGCCCAGCTGGGACTGCCCTCAGGCCAGGCTTGCTTTCCTGCTCCCGGATCACCATGGCAACTGGGGAGCAGGCAAAGTTTGGGGCTGCCCACAGGCCAGGCTTGCTTTCCTGCTCCCGGATCCTCATGGCGACCGGGGAGAAGGAGCAGCTGGGGGCTGCCTACAGGCCGCACTTTTCTACTTACTGATGGCCGGATCACCACAGCGACCCAGGACCCAGCGGCACTTTCCTGCTCTCCAGTAGTCATAGGGTCCTGGCTGGGGGCGGGGCTTAGCAGTGCGGGGCTTAGGCGGCACGGGGGTCCCGGCTGGGGGCTCAGGTGGCACACAGGGGTCCCGGCTGGGGGCAAGGCTTATGCCCCACTGCCCAGGGCTGCACATGGGGCCCGGATGGCAGCTTGCACTGTCCCACCCTGCCTGTAGTATAGGATAGAGGCCTGGTGCATGGGTGTGGGCCGGCTGGTTTGCCCTGAAAGTGTCCCAGATCAGGGTGGGGGTCCCGCTTGGGTGCCTGGCCAGTCTGGGTGAGAGGCTGAGAGCTATTTTCAGGCTGGAGGGCTCCCAGCCTCTCCTTTTTTTCTTTTTTTTTGTTCTGGGATTTATTTACCTTCTATAGCTGTCACTGGAGCTGAGAGCCGGCTCCAGCTCTGAGGGCTGAAAGCAGGTTCTGGGTCTGTTTGGCTTCTGTAATTGAAACTCTCTTGCCATCCCTGCAGCTCTAAGCTCTGAGGCCGAAGCTGGCTGAAAGCAGGTCTCTGGAGCTTGTTTAACTTCTGTAATTGAAACATTGTTTCTTAGAGTGTAGCTTAGAGCAGGCCAGCAGACCGGGAACGTTGGCTTCCTCCGTCACTGGAGCAAGCAAGCCTCCTGTTCACTTCAGCTGTGTGGCTGCCGGCCACCATCTTGGTTGGCACTTAATTTGCATATCGGCTGATTAGTCAATGGGAAGGGTGTCGGGGTTATGGTCAATTTGCATGTTTCTCTTTTATTATATAGGACTAGAGGCCCAGTGCATGGGATTTGTGCACTGGTGGGGCATGACCTGTGGGGATTGGCCCACTGTGAGAGTGCTGCTCATCCTGGTCAGCCAAGCGGCTGTGGACCTGCCCTCTGAGTGGCTGCTCCTGCTGTGGGAGCACCACTCATACCAGTCAGCCAAGTGGCGCTCCCACTGTGGAAGCACACTGACCACTAGGGGGCAGCTCCTGCATTGAGCGTCTGCCCCCTGGTGGTCAGTGCGTGTCAGAGCAACTGGTCGACCAGTTGTTCTGGTTGTTCCGCCGTTCGGTCACTGGGCTTTTATTATATAGGACTAGAAGCCCAGTGTGCGAAATTGCGCGGCCCCGCCCACCCACACCAGTCTTTGGTTGTTACGGCATTAGGGCCACAGGCCTTTTATAATATAGATATAGATTTGACTTGAAGATCTATCTAATTTTTATGGAGCCCAATATTGATTCTCTTGAAGGTCAAATGGGGTTGTAAATGTAATAAGATATGCTTATTTTAAAATAATATTTCAAAGAAAAGAATTAAGAGAACATACAAGAAGTTAGTTTGTCATATCAGTATTGAGAAATTTCATTTTTATTGAATTAACTTACTTTTGTGCTAATAGTTAGAAAGTAGTCAAAAACTATGGTATAAATTCAGCTGTATATACGTACTGGTATCTAGGTACATTGATGTCTACATTTTACAAATAGTTTTACAATCAAACACTTACTGAGTACTCAGTGTGTGCCAGGCATTTTGCAGTGCAATACATAAATGAAGACTGAGCTATTATTATCATTTATAGAGAATATAAACCACAGAGATCTTGACTTGGTAGCACTAATAAATGGCAGGACTGAGATTTGAATCCAGACTATTTTCAGAGCTCATACTATTAACCACCATACTGTTTTATTTCTATATAGTAGATGTTACTAAACTGTAATTCTTAAATCCAGTATTTGAGCTACTGTTTAAATTACAGCATTTCCATTTTCAACTAACAAGGAACCTCTACAGAAAACCAGTTTAGCCCTAAGACAGTTTTGCTCAGTGGTTGGAGGACTGAAGGGTCTCAGGTTTGATTCTGGTCAAGGGCACATACCTGGGTTGCAGGCTCAATCTATGGCCCTAAGTCAGGGCCCATGCAGGAGGTAACCAATCTATGTGTCTTTCTCACATCATTGTTGCTCTATCTCTGTCTCTCCCCCTTCCTAAAAATCAATGGAAAAAATACCCTCGGGTAAGGATAAATAAATAAATAAAGGAAAACCAGTTTATTTTGTATCCTAGTTAATGACAGCATGTCTGCTAATAAAACTTTTTTAAAAAATATATCATTCTGGAATCCTTTTAGCTGCTAACAACAGAAGACACATCAGAAACACATATACACTAAGAACATTTATTATGTTATTAACATGAAATCTGGTGGAAGGGCAGTTCTAGAGATGGTTAATTTAACTTCTCAGTCCTGGTTCAGCTTTCCTCTGATTCTCTTGGCTTTTCTCAAGAGCCTGCCCATCCGTATGATGCCAAGAGTGCCATTAGAGAGTTCAAAACTTTCAGAATGAGAATATTGATAAAGCCTAGCTGGAGTCAGAAAGTTCCAGTCTCAGGCCCCTTTTAAAAAGCAAAGAAAATCTTTCCAAGGCCCTGTACCCCAAGAAGATTGTTTTCACTTTTCATTGGCAGAAAAGCATCACTTGCCCATGACTGATCCAAAAATTTGCCAACAGAATGAGATTGACAAGTGTAGATCCTGTGTGCAAGGAAGGGTGAGTGCAAGCTCTTGTGTAGGTAGGTTTCCAGCACTGTCTGCATATAGCACTGTGTGCATACAGAGTAAAGTTTTTTTGGCATTTGATAGGGATATAGAGTATCTTCATAGGGTTCTTTTACAGATTTTTGCTTTAAAATTTTACATTGATATTTCAGGTTTAATAACAAACTGTTGGCAACCAGAAAATAGATTTCTATACTTCATTATAACCTTTACCAGATCACCATCTGTTATGCTCATTGCTCAGTTAGAATTTTGCAGATCTTTTTATAAACTCGTAAAATTTGTATCCCACCTGATGAAATTTATAGGCAGGTTCCACTGAAGAACATGATTCTATAGACATTCTATGCTGTTAAATTTATTCCTGTATTCTTTTTTTTAAATCCCATAAATACAATGTATTCCAATATACTCATAGTAAAATTTTATCTAGGCACTGTTGTGTATTTGGAGTGTTGTGGTATTTTGCTGGAAGAAAGTAAGAGCAAAAAAAAATTAATGTCATTTTTTGAAAGGTAACTGATTTGAGGTACTGTGTTTGCTACTAATCGAGTCAGGCTTTTTAAACTTCTCACCTTGTTAGAAAGCTTCTCTTCAGTACCTATCTGGTAGTTAATAATAATTATTATATTATCTCTTTTATGGGGAGCTTCAGTTTTCCTAACCACTAGGTAAAGTTTCTATTTGCCAAACATCTGAAAAAAGGATCTGCTTTCTCTTGGGGATAATAATACAATAGCGTGGCTCCTAGATTTACCTTACTGGGTTTAAATCCTGGCACTCTAACTTTCTAGCTGTGTGATCTCGAGCATAGCACTTAACTTTCTAAACCTTAGTTTCCCTATCAGTAAAAAGAATAATGATAATACTTGTACGTGATTATGATTATTAAATGCCATGATAAGAGTAAAGCATGTAGCTCAATGTGAAATTACACTATGCTAAGTAAATGTTAGCTATTTTTATAGTTATTCTGAATCGTTATATAATGTAATTCTTAAAAACAGCAGTACATTTGCTCCTTAATGCCATTTATATGTTTCTCTTATCTATGATCTATTCTTCACATTTAAAAGCACGTTAAAAGTAAATTACATTTTAGTATATATCATTAGAGGTTGAATGATTACCTGCTTTCTTCTTTAATAGTCCAGAAGAAAAGATTAGACAGTTAGAGAAGAAAGTAAATGAGTTGGTCGAAGAAAGTTGTATTGCCAACAGTTGTGGAGACTTAAAACTGGTAAGTTTATAAACTAACAGGATTCAGGATTATGAAGTGTATATATGTATATATCTGGTTTTATATGTGCACACTTACAAAGTGTGTATATATGTGCACACATACAAGCATATGTATAGATAAATACTTTTGTTTTGCTGTTGACTGGCCTTAGAGTTTTCACTGAAGCAATTGTTTTTTGGGAATCCTACTCTGCTTCTTTTAAAATTATTAAATATTTTCTTTTAATTTGCTTTTGTTCACATTACTTTGATTGTTATACTATATAAATATAATTTCTGTGACTTTAGTTATCGGGTTAATGACTACCATTAGGAAAAATTGTTCAATATGAAAAGCTACTTTTGTTGCTCATAGTACTGGTGCCTTTTTAATCTAGTTCTAAAAAGCAAAAATCTCCTGTTGAATTAATCTGTTTGTAGGTAGTTTCAGTGGAATAGAAAGTTCCTGACATTCTAAGTAGAGAGCCAAACTAAGCATCTGCCATAACATTGAGTAGCAGTTATCTTGTGACTTGTCTAGATTTGGGGCATCCCAGAAACCAAACAAATCCATCTAAATTCCTATATCATGAGATAGAATTAAAATACCCAAAGATTCAGGAGTTGGGAGGGAAAAAGGAAATCAAAGACATAGTCAAACCTAAAAGTGGTGGAAGGCATGGTGATGAAGAGACTGAACTTGGGGCAAAGCTACTGTATGTTTTGTCCCTCAGACTCCTTCTTCTTTTCCAGAATAAACACAAATTTTTATGATTGTGAGCTCCAGTTTAAACAAATGGTCTGGGTTCTTTTGTTGTCAAGGGGAGTTTGTGGTAAGCGTTCCCCAGGCCGTGGGCATCCAGGAATGGATATGGCATCCAGCCCAGCTACATGCAGGTGTTTCCCAAAGGCACACATTCTCGGAATGAATGCTCACAGTGTATACTTGATTTCAGGCCTTAGAAAAGGCAAAAGACGCAGGAAGAAAAGAGAGAGTGTTGGTGAGACAGCGTGAGCAGGTGACAACTCCAGAAAACATCAATCTGGATTTAACTTACTCAGTAAGTATGAAATACCTGTTGAGTAAAATTATTTTGGCGAGGATTTGTAGATTCCAGAAGTCTTTTGTCTTCTATATTTCTTGTTTCCTTTTATTTTAAAAATTTTATTGAATCTTAGATGCTTAGAATTAGATTAATGATCATCTTTTTTTGAACAAGAGTTCATGAGACACGCTTGTCTTTAGTCTGTGAAGATCTTCTTTTGAACTTTATTTATTGATTGATTTGAAAAAGAGAGAGAAAAAATATTGATTTTTTTTGTTCCATTCAAAATATTGATTTATTTTTGTATCGGTTGATTCTTGTATGTGCCCTGACTGGGGATCCAACCTGCAATCTTGGTGTATTGGGACCACACTCTAATCAACTGAGCTACCTGGCCAGGGCAAAGATCATTTTTTTTATTTAGTTTTTTGATTAGTTGTTTTTAATAACTTAGTAAGTGCTTACCAGCCAATGACTGTTTCTTGAAGACTGCTGATATTTATGCTCTGTTCAGTGTGGTTACTTTAATGAGATTCTGAAGTGGACTTTTTGGCCTATGAATTTCAAGAACTTCAAATGAGGCAAATAAGACAATGTTCTGTGAAGGTAGTAAAAAACAAAACAAAACTAATTTCTAGTAAAATTTCTTTAATTCTAAAAAGACAGTGCCTTGATAAGGCTGTTTAAAAGGGTATATTTTTAGTGGGAAAAGTCGTTATATATGTCAAACACATGGAAAAAAAGTACATTTCAAACTGAATAAGAATTTTTATATGTTTACTATTTATAGCTAATATTTTTTAATTCCATGATCAATTTATAATGATCATTTTTTTCCTATCCTCTAGGGAGATAATTTACAGTAACTTAATAACAAATTATAATTTTGCATGTAGAGAATCACTATTCAAATAAAGGTTTAAGATATTCCTAAATGAAGTTTAATTTATTTTTATGAAGAGAATTTGGTTCACTATTTTGCTTATTCCTTTTCTCACTAGCAACATTAAGAAGACACAGTTATTCTTTGTAGGTCTTCCTGAGATTAATGGATGGCAAATACTATCTAAAATAGAAAGAATACATAAAAAATTAATATGAAATTCAGAGATCAGCCTTACCTATATGAATGTTCTGGTTCATTTGGAATGCGAGATTTTCTGTCTACTTCATTTCCTAATTGGTTGGATGTCTTGATATGAGCAGCTAACTTTGTTATATGACTTTAATCTCTAGAAAGATTATGGGCAAAAGGGGCCTAAATGGTCATTATGTATCTTTTTGCAATATTTTCCTTCCTTAGGTTCTGTTCAACTTGGCCAGTCAATATTCAGCTAATGAAATGTATGCTGAAGCACTAAACACATATCAAGTTATAGTGAAAAATAAGATGTTTATCAATGCAGGTAGGTGTTTATAGTCAGTTTGTCTAGTAAGTGTAGTTCTTTTGTAGTGTTCATTTATGTTTCCTCCCTGTATGGTTTCTTACAATGAAGTGACTTATGCTCTAAAACAAATTTGTATTTATATAGAGGTATCCTGCTTAAAAATACTATTTATATTAAAATCCACACAAATGCAAATGAGGAAATACAGTTGGTATGAGGTATATTACCTAATAGTAAACAAAAAATGTGTTCTGTCATTACAAGTAGAATGAGCTATGGCAACCCCATCAAGTGTGCTTCCCCTTGTATAATTCATCCCCAAGAGTTTGTAGTTTATATCTAGCATGTACATTATGTAAACTTTGGTAGCAGTATTAAAGTTTATTAATATCATTTTCTTGAATATGATATTAAAATGTGTGTAGCATTATTGGGTCTAATCCTTAGAAGAACACGACTCCAATTTTCTAATGTAAACCAGTTGTTTTCTAGTTGTAATTTTTAGGAATCCAACTGTCTTAAGTTCCATTTCCTTACATAATTAGTGTGTGGATACATGAAAATAGTATGACTATTTTTCAAGGGAGAATTTTAGATAATGCCTGAACCTTTATAACTTGATAAGATCTTCAAAGAATATGAATTAATGTTATCTAAAATATCATAAAAAATGAAAAACATAGAATATTATATATTCCTTTTTTTTTTTAAATTAGGAAGATTGAAAGTGAATATGGGAAATATTTATTTAAAGCAAAGAAATTATTCCAAAGCCATTAAATTCTACCGAATGGCATTAGATCAAATTCCAAGTGTCCATAAAGAAATGAGGTGAGTTTACATAATGATAACTTTGTAAAATAGTGTTATTTTCAGAAACAAGATAACTCTTCTGACCTGTTATCAGTAGGTTGAACGTTTTGAGGTGTTTGTACAGGAGAGGTATTAGATTCATGTGATGTCTGTTCTTGCACACATTTGTATAAGGACAAGTTAAAGGCATAATATGTGATCAATTGAAGTTAAACTAAACTACTTGGCCTATATGGGGGGTAATCACCAAATGCAGCTAACTGCCAACACAAAATCAAAACTTAGTCCTTTAGGACATACCAGACTAGAGTGCAAGGCCAGAAATTCAGAACCCCCCCCCCCCCCCCCCGACATTCGTGCTGTAGATTGAGAGTGAAATCATGGGAGGAAGGGATTGCTTCTGAATCTGAGAAGACAGGGTTAGAGAGGGAAAATTGGGATACTTTCTACTCCTACAATATTTCAAGAACAGACATAGTAAATTACCTTATGGTCTGGTAATAAATGTAGGAACATAGGTTTCCAGGATATTTACTGGTCATAATTTCTCCTAGTCCCAGTACACTCCCTCTGTGAAACTTAATTATTTGTAAATGCCACCTTCCATGATAATTTTTTTTAATTGTGCACAATATCTTATCATCATCAGTAAATATCTGGCTTATAAAACAGTGCCCTTGAAGTACTTTTAACCCAGGTGATGTCAAGAATTTGACCTTTTTAGAAGATGTATTTAGATATAATATCAGACAGAATATATTAAGTACTTACTAATCAGGAATCAAGAGGTGCTGTAGTGCCCTGGCTAGTGTGCTCTGTGGTTAGAACATCGGCCCAAGCACCAGAGGATTACCAGTTCCATTCCCAGTCAAGGGCATATACCTGGGTTGCAGGTTGCATCTCCAGCTTCAGTCAAGCCTGTGCAGGAGGCAATTAATCAGTGTGTCTCCCTCACATCGATGTTTCTCTCTCTCTTTTTCTCCCTCCCTCATTTTCTCCCTCCTTCTTTTTTACTCTCTTCAAATTAACAACAACAAAAAGGAGGTGATATAGTAATTAAGTTGAGGGAATAATTATTGAGAACAAGAATAGTCAGTAAAAGCATTATGAAGGAGGTGTACTTGAGATAGGTGACTTAAGTGAAGAGGAAAAAAGGGGAAACATTCCAGACAAAAGGAACAACATAAGAAGAGTCAGGAAAATCAGTGTTCATGATCTGGTCAGAGAATTATGGATGAATGAATGAATGTAGTTGAAACAGAGGGATTATGTTGAAAAGTAGTTAGAAATAAGATGAGATCATGGCCTTTAAAATGTCTATAATCAAAAGACAGGCAATAATATTATTGAAGAGATGTGGAGAAATCGGAAACCATACATTGGTGATCTAAAATGGTATAGCCACTTTGGAATATAATTAGGCAATATCTTAAAAAGTTAAACATGGGTTTACTGTATGACCAGTGGTACTGTATGTACCACTCTTAGGTACATAACCAAGAAAGTGAAAACATGTCACATATGATCCTATGTGAATGTTCATACAACATCATTAATAATTACCAAAAGAGGAACAATCAATGTCCATCAAATAGGCAATGGATGAATGAAACATGGTGTATTTGTACTATGGAATACTATTTGACAATATAAAAGGAATGAAGTGCTGACACATGCTACAGTATCAGGAACCTTTAAAATATTCTGCTATAATCAAAAAACTTCAACAAACAAAAGCCCAGGACAAGACAGTTTCACAGGGGAGTTTTATCAAACATTCAAAGAAGAAATAAAACCTATCTTCCTCAGACTATTCCAAAAAATTCAAGAGGAGGGAGCACTTCCAAGCTCTTTCTACGAAGCCAGCATTACCCTAATCCCAAAACCAGATAAAGACAATACAAAGAAAGAGAATTAGAGTCCAATATCCCTCATGAACATAGACACCAAAATCCTCAACAAAATTCTAGCAAATGAATCCAGCATTACATTAGAAAGATCATACACCATGACCAAGTGGGATTGATTCCGGAGGTGCAAGGATGGTACAATATCCGCAAATCAATAAATGTGATGTGATACACCACATAAACAAACTGAGAGATAAAAACCATATAATCATATCCATCGATGCAGAAGAAGCATTTGACAAAATCTAACAACCTTTCTTGATAAAAACTCTCAGCAAGGTGGGAATAGAAGGATCATACCTCAACATAATAAAAGCCATATATGACAAACCCACAGCCAACATCATGCTCAATTGGCAAAAACTAAAACCATTTCCCCTAAGAACAGGAACAAGACAGGGATGCCCACTCTCACCACTCCTGTTTGATATAGTACTGGAAGTACTAGCAATTGCTATCAGACAAAAAGAAGAAATAAGAGGCATCCAAATTGGAAAAGAAGAAATAAAACTGTCATTATTCACAGATGACATGATATTATACATGGAAAACCCCAAAGACTCTGTCAAAAAATTACTAGACTTAATAAATGAATTTGAGCCGTAACTGGTTTGGCTCAGTGGATAGAGCATCGGCCTGCGGACTGAAAGGTCCCAGGTTCGATTCTGGTCAAGGACATGTACCTTGGTTGCGGGCACATCCCCAGTGGGAGGTGTGCAGGAGGCGGCTGATCAATGTTTCTCTCTCATCGATGTTTCTAACTATCTCTCTTCCTCTCTGTAAAAAATCAATAAAATATATTTTAAAATAAATGAATGAATGAATGAATGAATGAATTTGGCAATGTAGCAGGATACAAAATTAACACCCAGAAGTCTATGGCTTTTCTATACACCAATAATGAACTCAAAGAAAGAGAAATTTAAAAAGCAATCCCATTTATCATTGCAACAAGAAAATTAAGATACCTAGGAATAAACTTAATCAAAGAGACAAAGGACCTGTACTCAGAAAATTTCAGAACACTAAAAAAAGAGACAGAGGAAGACATGAACAAATGGAAGAATATACCATGTTCATAGATTGGTAGAATCAACATCATTAAAATGTCCCTACTACCCAAAGCAATCTGTAAATTCAACGCAATCCCCATTAAAATACCAATGGCATACTTCAAAGACCTAGAACAAATTCTCCAAAAATTCATCTGGAATAATAAAAGACCCCAAATAGCTGCAGCTATCTTGAGAAAGAAGAACAATGTTGGAGCGATCACAATACCAGATATCAAGCTATACTACAAAGCCACTGTTCTCAAAACTACCTGGTACTGGCATAAGAACACACATATAGACCAGTGGAACAGAACAGAGAACCAGAAATCAACACAAGCCAGTATGCTCAATTAATATTTGACAAAGGAGACAAGAGCATACAATGGAGACAGTCTCTTCAATAAATGGTGTTGGGACAATTGGACAGATACTTGCAAAAAAAATGAAACTACACCACCAACTTACACCATACACAAAAATAATCTCAAAATGGATAAAGGACTTAAATGTAAGATGGGAAACCATAAAAATCTTAGAAGAAGCCATAGGCAGCAAAATAGCAGACATTTGTCATAGCAGTATACTGATACAGCTCCTAGGGCAGTGGAAACTAAAGAGAAAATAAACAAATGGGACTACATCAAAATAAAAAGCCGCTGCACAGGAAAAGAAGCCATCAACAAAACAACAAGAAAGCCCACTGCATGAAAGAACATATTTGCCAATGTTATCTCCTATAAGGGTTTAATCTCCAACATTTACAGGGAACTCATACAATTTAACAAAAGGAAGATAAACAGTCCAATCAAAAAATGGGCAACGGACCTAAATAGACACTTTTCAAAAGAGGACATTCAGAAAGCCATGAGACATATGAAAACATTCTCAAAGTCACTAATCATCCAAGAAATGCAAATCAAAACAACAATGAGTTACCATCTCACACCTGACTATCATCAACAAATCAGCAAACGACAAGTGCTGGAGAGGATGTGGAGAAAAAGGAACCCTCCTTCATTGCTGGTGGGAATGCAGACTGGTGTAGCCACTGTGGAAAACAGTATGGCGTTTCCTCAAAAAATTAAAAATGGAACTGCCATTTGACCCAGGAATACCACTTCTAGGAATATATCCCAAGACCCCAGAAACACCAATCAGAAAGGATATATGCACCCCTATGTTCATATCAGCACAATTTACAATAGCTAAGATTTGGAAACAGCCTAAATGCCTGTCAGCAGATGAATGGATTAGAAAATTGTGGTACATCTACATAATGGAATACTTGCTGCTGTAAAAAAGAAGGAATTCTTACCATTTGCAACAGCATAGATGGAACTGGAGAGCATTATGCTAAGTGAAATAAGCCAGTGAAAGATAATACCACATGATCTCACTCATTTGTGGAATATAAAGAACATTATAGACTGTTGAACAAAAATAGATAGAGGCAAAGAAGCATTGAACAGACTGTCAAACTACAGCGGGAAGGCAGGGGAGGGTTGGGGGGATAAGAGATCAACCAAAGGACCTGTATGCGTGCATATAAGCACAACCAACAGACGCAAGACACTTGGGGGGTGGGGGGTGAGGGCAATTGTCAGAGTAAGAGGGGCCAGGGAGGAAGTCAATGGGGAAAAAAAAAGGAGACATAGGCACTACTATTTGTAATACCTTAAACAATAAAATAAAATTTAAAAAAAAGATTCTGCTGATTGAGAGACATCAACACAAAAACGTCACATTTGTATGAGTCCATTTATATGCAGCATCTAAAAAAGGCAAATCCAGAGACAAAGGAAGGAGGTTAGGGCCCTGGCTGGGTAGCTCAGTTGGTTGACACATACAAGAATTAAACAATGAATGCACAAATAAGTGAAACAATAAACTTATATTTCTCTCTCTCTCTCTCTCTCTCCCTCTGTCTCTGTCTCTGTCTCTGTCTCTGTCTCTGTCTCTCTCTCTCCCCTCGCCCCCTTCTCATAAAAGAAAGGAGGTTAGTATTGTCCAGGGCTGGAGGTGATAACGGGAGTGACAGCTGATGGGCACAGGTTTTCTTTCTAGGGTGATGGAAATTACTTAATAAGAGCATGGTTGTAGTTCCACAACTGTATGAATATAGTAGTTGTCATTGAAGCAAATACTGAAAACAAATAAATTTTATGATATGAGCTCAGTAAAGCTTTAGGAAAACAAAGCAAAAAACTCAAGAAGAATAGAAATGAAGGGAACTATCTGTGGAGTGTCTGACTGCTGTACTGAGGAGTTCAGGTTTAAAGCTGATCCTTGTTTATTTCTCTTTAGGATTAAAATTATGCAGAACATTGGAGTTACATTTATTAAAACTGGCCAGTACTCTGATGCCATTAATTCGTTTGAGCACATAATGAGCATGGCACCAAACCTGAAGGCTGGCTTCAACCTCATTCTCAGTTACTTTGCTGTTGGAGATCGAGAGAAAATGAAGAAGGCTTTCCAAAAACTGATTGCTGTTCCATTAGAAATTGATGAAGATGATAAATACATTTCACCAAGTGTGAGTATGAGGAAGACTGGTAGCCAGCTCTTAGTTATCCATGCTTTTCTTTTTCCAGAAATGAAAAAGTTGGAGTGGATGACTTCTTAGGTTTCTCCCAGGCCTGTATTAATGTATTTTTTTAAAAATATATTTTATTGATTTTTTACAGAGAGGAAGGGAGAGAGAGAGAGAGAGTCAGAAACATCGATGAGAGAGAAACATCGATCAGCTGCCTCCTGCACATCTCCTACTGGGGATGTGCCCGCAACCCAGGTACATGCCCTTGACCGGAATCGAACCTGGGAACCTTCAGTCCGCAAGCCAATGCTCTATCTACTGAGCCAAACCGGTTTCGGCAATGTATTTTAATTAAGTAAGTTTAATTAATGCATTTTCATTTATTATTTAAATTAGCTTGAGAATGGGACTCCATTGAAATAGGGGTAGAAAGTATGGTTAAAACAGACTGTGCAGTTTCAGTCAGAAAACAACAACAACAATATTAGGAAAAACAAGATTATGTGCCAGGAACCTGTAATACTCTCAAGAGTGAAAATAAATTAAAAAAAAAAAGAAAAAAGAAGAGCAATAGCCCTGGCCGGTGTTGGTCAATAGTTAGAGCATTGGCCCACACATCTACCAGTCGCAGGTTTGATTCCCAGTCAAGAGCATGAACCTGGGTTGCAGATTCGATCCCCAGCCCTGGTCGTGGCATTGTGGGAGGCAGCCAATCAGTGTGTCTCTCTCACATCAGTGTTTCTCTCTCTCTCCCTCCCCCACTTCCTTTCACACTCTCTAAAAATCATGGAAAAAATATCCTTGAGTGAGGATTAACCAAAAAAAAAAAAAGAAAGAAAGAGAGTAATATAAAGCCTTTTAATTGTTTAGTTGAGCAGAGGGAACTTAAACCATATGTACTAAATACATCAAGAATAAAAATAAGTAATTCCTCATCTTTACTCATAGAATTCAGCATAATACAAAAGTCATATTTTCAAAGACCTTGAGCAGATACTATATAAAGTGAAAAAAAAAAAAACAAGTGAAAAATACTGATATACACTCATACTTAAACATAACCTGGAAGGAAGAATACCAAAATAGACACTGTATTTTCTGGAATAAGATTCTTTTTCTTTTTTTGTTATTAATATTCATATTCTTTTTATTCTATTTTTTTAAATCTTTACAGATGTCCTTCTTTTTATTTCCTTTTGCCCCCCTCTACCCAATTCCCACCCCACCCCAGGTCTTCACCACTCTATTGTATGTGTCCATAGTTAATGCATATCCTATATAATAAAAGACTAATATGCAAATTGACCAAACAGTGAAACGACCAGTCGCTATGATGCTCACTGATCACCATGGGGCAGACACTCAACACAGGAGCTGCCCCCTGGTGGTCAGTGCGCTCCAAAGGGGGAGCGCCACTCAGCCAGAAGCCCTGAGCCAGGCTCATGGCTGGCGAGCACAATGGCGGTGGTTGGAGCCTCTCCCACCTCATGGCAGCCCTAAGGATGTCCAGCAGGCGGCTTAGGCCCGCAAGCAGGCCTAAGCTGTCAGTCGGACATCCCCTGAGGGCTCCCAGACTGCAAGAGGGCGCAGGCCAGGCTGAGGGACCGCCCCCCCCAAGTTCATGAATTTCATGCACTGGGCCTCTAGTATGCATATAAGATCCTTTGTTAATCTCTTCCGCCCTTCCCTCTGATATTCGTCAGTCTATTCCATGTTTCCATGCCTCTGATTCTATTTTATATCACCAGTTTATTTTATTCTATAGATTTCTTATTCATTTATTTTTAAATTCAGTTGTTGATAGATATGTATTTATTGCCATTTTATTGTTCATATTGTTTATCTTTTTCTTCTTCTATTGCTTCTTCCTCTTCTTAAAGAATGCCCTTCAACATTTCATGTAATACTGGTTTGGTGGTGATGAACTCCTTTAGCTTTTTCTTGTCTTTGAAGCTCTCTATCTGACCTTCAATTTTAAATGATAGTTTTGCTGGGTAAAGTAATCTTGGTTGTAGGCCCTTGCTATTCATCACTTTGAATATTTCTTGCCACCCCCTTATGGCCTGCAAAGTTTCTGTTGAGAAATTTGCTAACAGTTGTATGGGCGCTCCCTTGTAGGTGATTAACTGCTTTTCTCTTGCTGCTTTTAAGATTCCCCCCTTGTCTTTAACCCTTGGCATTTTATTTTATTCTTTAAATGTATTTCTTTATTGATTTCAGAGAGGAAGGGAGAAGGAGAGAGATAGAATCATCAATGATGAGAGAGAATCATTGATCGGCTGCCTCCTGCATGCCCCCCACTGGGGATCAAGCCCGCAACCCAGGCATGTGCCCTTGGCTGGAATTGAACCTGGGACCCTTCAATCCCTAGGCTGACGCTCTACCCACCGAACCAAGCTGGCCAGGGCTAACCCTTGGCATTTTAATTATGTGTCGTGGTGCGGGCCTCTTTGGATTCCTCTGGGTTGGGACTTTCTGTGCTTCCTGGACTTGTGTGTCTATTTCTTTCACCAGGTAGGGGAAGTTTTCTGTTATTATTTCTTCAAATACGTTTTCAATATCTTGTTCTCTCTCTTCTCCTTCTGGCATCCCTATAATGAGAATGTTGTTGTTATTGAAGTTGTCCCAGAGGCTACTTGCACTATCTTCATTTTATTCTTTTTTCTTTTTGCTCTTCTGATTTGGTGTTTTTTGCTTCCTCATATTCCAGATTGTTGATTTGATTCTCAGAATCCTCTACTCTACTGTTGAATCCCTGTAAATTATTCTTTATTTCAGTTAGTGTATGCTTAATTTCTGATTGGTCCTTTTTCATGTCTTTGAAATTCTCACTAAGATCTTGACAGTCTCACTAACTCCCTTGAAGCTCTCATGAAGATCCTTCAATAACCTTATAACTGTGGTTTTGAATTCTGTATCCAGTAGTTTACTTGCTTCCATTTCTTTCATTTGTGACATATTTCTTTGTCTCCCCATTTTGGCTGCTTCCCTGTGTTTGTTTCTATGTACTAGGTGTACCAGTTAATAATGCAGATTTTGTAATCAAAGAAAACACGGTAATTTCAAGAGAAACATCAAAAGTGCTTTATTCAAAGTAATTTCCATAGCTAGCTACACATTTCCCCCATCTTTCAGGTAATTTGTGGATACTGTCCCAATAGAACCTTTTTTGTTTTGAGGCAAACCATTCGGAGACCCATTTTCCACTTCTTCATGTGTTTTGAAGTGCTGCTCAGAAAGTGCATGTGCCATCGATCAGAATAAGTGGTAATCTGAAGGAGTAAGGTCTGGTGAATACAGCAGGTGGGTTAATACTTCCAGGCAAGATCTTTTAACGTGTCTTTAATTGGTTTTGAAGTGTGTGATAGTGTGTCATCATGAAGCAAAATTACTTTGCCGTATCTCCTGGCACATTCTAGTCATTTCACGATCACAGCGTGGTCCAGATTGATCATTTGTTGTCGATAGCAATCAGTATTAACAGTTTCATTTGGTTTTAGAAGCTCATAATACACCATACCTTCCTGATTCCACCAAACGCAGAGCATTGTCTTCTTTTCGAAGTGATTTGGCCTTGCAGTTGATGTTGATGGTTGACCTGGATCAACCCATGATTTTGTGCATTTGGGATTCTCAAAGTACGTCCACTTTTCATCGCCAGTCACAATTTGATGCAAAAAAGACTTTCTTTCGTGCCACTGAAGAAACATTTTACTGATGACTTTTCGGTTTTCCATTTGTCTTTCGTTGATGTAGCACCCATTTTCCTTCCTTTAAAATCTTTCCCATTGCTTGTAAATGATCAGAAATTGTTTGCTGAGCAACATTTAATCTTTCTGCAAGTTGTTTTTGAGTTTGACATGCATCTTCATCCAATAATGCTTGTAATTGTTGGTCTTCAAACTTTTTTGGTTGACCTGGACATTCTTTGTCTTTTACATCGAAATCATCACTTTTATAGCATTTAAACCAGCATTCACAAGTATCTGAGATAGAGCATGTTCACCATAAGCTTCCTGAAGTATACAATAACTTTTTCTTCACAATAAAGTAATGAATTAAAACTTCCCACAAATGCTCTTTTTTTGGCATGAAATTAGACATCTTAAAACGTAAAAATACCTATGATGTTAACACCTTCACCAAATTTGACATACGAAGTTTTGAAGCTTGCTGTCAATACAACAAAATAGCATATATACCAAATTGCATATATATCACCATATGTGTAACTCCATCTATTGAAAAAAAAGTCTGCATTATTAACTGGTACACCTAGCATTAAGTAGAGCTGCTATGTCTCCTGGAGTTGGTAACGTGGCCTTGTATATAGTAGGTGTCCTGTAGGGCCCAGTGGCTCAGCCTCCTAGATCACCTGAGCTGGGCACTCTAGGTGCACCCTTGTATGGACTGTGAGCACAGTCTTGTTGTAGTTGAGCCTTGATTGCTGTTGGTGTCACTGAGAGGAATTGACCTCCAGGCCAGTTGGCTGTGAGGACAAGCTGAGACACTGTGGAATAACTGCAGTGCAGGAAACACCCTTATGGACCAGGACTTGCTTCAGTTGGGTTTTTGTGCTCACTGAGTCTGCCCCTTGAGTGTGTCACTGTGGATGTGTAGAGTTGTAATCTGGTATGGTCTGAAGCTTCCCACTGGGTGCACTAGCTCTGGAGTCTCCAAGGAGGTGCAAAGTCACCACTGCCTGGGGCCACCTGTCAGGAGCTACAGAGAGATCTGCAGATGGCTACTACTTGTATTGAGTTTGGAAGTGCCCAGACGAGGCCCAGCTGTGAAGCAAGGCAGGCTGGTGCTAATGCCAGTCTTGGGCCTTTTATGGGTAGGTTTGGGGAACGCAGACACCAGCTGCTGCTTGTTTGAGAGATTTTAGCAAAGTCTGAAGGCTGAGCCAGGACAGGCCATTGGTATGGAAAAGTTGCTGCAAACAGCTTGGGTAGGGCCGCAAATTGGAGGGGGGGGGAGGTTTCAGGGAATAATCAGGGCGGAGCAAACAGTGTACACCAGGCTAATGAAGACTTAAGTATGGCTGCCAGTCAGCCCTGCAACAAGAGAGGTCCTAGCATAGGAATAATGACCTCTGTGAGCACCCCTGTCTGGGAGAATGCCACCCCCGAGTTCCTGCCCTGATGCTAGACTATCCAGTTCCTCCCCATATGTGTCTAGGTCCCCCATCACCTCCTGATGCTGGAGCTCAGAGGATTCAGGAGTAAGTTCCTGTGCCAACCCTTTAAAAGCACACCTGGTCTCTGGCAGCATCAGTGTCCCTCAGCTACAATCCCTGCTGGTTTTTACAGTCTGAAATTATGGGGACTTCTCTTCCCTGCTTTGGAACCCTGGGTTGGGGGTCTGGTATGGGGTTGGGACCCCTTGCTTCTCACAGGCAGCCTCTGAAGGGACAATCTCCCTCCTGATTAAAAAAATGGCACACATGGGAGCTGGACCAGCCCATTCCATTTCCTCAACCCCCTACCTGTCTCCATGTGCTTCCTTCTTTACTTCTCTAGCTGTAGGACTTCCATTCAGCCAGCTTTCAGGTGGTTGTGAATGATGGTTGCTCTGTATTTTAGTTGTAATTTTGATGTGGTTGTAGGTGGTGGTGAGTACTGGTGTTTACCTATGCTATCATCTTGGTTCACTTCCAAGATTATTTTTCTTAATGCTTTTAAAATATTTTTCAGATTTTTACACATAAATTTTTGTATACCACTATTATTTTACATTAAGTCAAACCATGTGAATGTGCCTATATTTATAAATCAAAATAGTATAATAATGTCAATTTCAGAAGTCGAACTTAATTGATTTTCTTAATAGATTTTAAGGGCATTTGCAGCTTTGTTGTTGGCCCCACCACTCAGTACTTACTCTCTTGTGCCTCAATTCCTTTACATATAAATTATATCCTATCTAATAATAGACAAAGATGCAAATTGACTGTACCTTTGCTACGTCCACCATTGGCTAATCAGCGTGATATGCAAATTAGCCACCAACAAAGATGGTGGCTAATTTGCATATACCGGCTGGGAGCAAAGACTGAGACACCATAGAAGGAAGCCAAGCAACGAAGCCGAGGTAGCAGAGACGAGCGGGAGAGAAGCGGCAGAGAAGAGTGGGGTAGGAGCGGCAGAGACGGGTGGGGTAGGAGCTGCAGAGAAGGGCGGGGTAGGTCCCCCAGAGCCAGAGCGGACACAGACAGGGACAGGGGGTCTGGCCTGCAGCCTCTGTGGCCAAGTGCAGGCCCAGAGAGGAGATGGCGGGCCCGCCTCCCGTGAAAGCGGTGCAGGTCCCTCCCAGCTCCCGTGGAAGCGGCGCAGCTACCTCCCGGCTCCCATGGGCACCAGTGGCTTGCTCCCGTGGGAAGCTGAATGGGAAGCAGCGCGGCTCCTGGCTGCAGTTCCCACTGACTCCCGAGGAAGCGGCGGGCGGCCTATTACACACTATATTGTGCAGTGGGCTACTAGTGTAATTAAAATAACCTACCTTATACTGTTGTGAGGATTAAATGAGGTTATGCATGTGAAATGCTTAAAACAATACCTGGACTGTAGGAAGTTTGGGGTAAATGTTAACTATTATACATTACTTTCATATTGAGAAAAAAATATTATATGTTGTGAAAAATCATCAGTTTTTTTAACACATTGTTTGCGGGTAGTTTTTATCGTGTGCTAACAGGTGGCGTGGGCCATTTTTGCTAATTTTTTGCGCAAATGGCAACGTTCAGTAAAATTACAATAACTTTAGTTTACGTATTTATACGTTACCCGCATTCTACCGCTAGTCTATAAAAAACGTATTAATACGTGTCCCATGCTCTACTACACTGGTAGAACGTATAAATACGTAAAATGTATAAATACGTTTCCTGCATACAATGTGTTAAGAGGGAGTAGAGATATGGCTTTTATTAAGTAATTGATGATCATTAAAGCATTTGTATTTGAGTTTGGCTAATGGGGAGCATAAGTGGACAGAAGGGAGAAATGAGTACCATCAGATATGTGTTCCTCTGGCTGCCTCCTGTACTGGGCTGCATATCTGGCGCTTTGGCCAGACAGGTCATGCTGTGCTGTCTGTTCCTAAAACACATAGATAGGAAGGTACTGACATCAGGCCAGGCCTTGAGATATGGTCTCATGGCCCCTTCCCGGCACTCTGTACTCTCTGTTCCTAGAACACATAGATAGGAAGGTAAGGAGGCTATACTGTGTTGGGAACTAATTGTGTAAACAAGGCTTTGTAACTAACTTTGTGGTTTTTACAAATAAAAAGGCTGTAACTCTTGCAGTCGCTGCTGCAGTTCAGCCTCTGCTTCGGCAGGGTGCTGTAACTGTAGTCAGCTGGCCAGCTTAATAAAGGCTCTTAAATTTAAATTCTGAGTCGGTGGTCTATCTTGCTGAGTGAACCCATAACACTCCCTCTAGTATTGGTTTAGGTTGGCTGTACTTCAACTAAAGTTTGCATCATCCTTCCAGATGGCTTTCTATATAAGACTTTCACATTTCAGGCTCTAGCATCCACTTGCTCTACTTGGCCTTAATAATTGTGAGTCTATTTGAATTATCTATTTCATATTAGTGAATTGTAATAGAGTGTAATTATTAAACTGTTAGTCCATTTGATCTAAGCTGTCAAATTTCTAGGCATTATCATCATACAATGTCCCAGTCTAGCTTTGGTTATTTTATTTGCTCTAAAGTCTACTTTGTTTGAAATTATGTAGCCACTATAACATTTTAAGATTGTTTTCATGATATATATGTTTCATACTTTTGCTTTCAGCCTGCCTATGTTGTTTTATTTGAAACTAGAGGCCCGGTGCATGAGATTCGTGCACTTGGGGGATTAGGGGACCTCAGCCCAGCCTGTGCCCTCTCGCAGTCCAGGACCCCTCGGGGGATGTCTGCCTGCCGGTTTAGGCCTGATCCTTAGGCCAGCAGTCAGACATCCCTCTTGCAATCCGGGACCCCTCACTCCTTACCGCCCGCCTGCAGCGGAGGATGGAGAGGCTCCCACCACTGCCACTGCGCTTGCCAGCCATGAGCCCGGCCTCTGGCTGAGCAGCGCTCCTCCTGTGGGAGTGCACTGACCACCAGGGGGCAGCTCCTGCATTGAGCGTCTGCCCCCTGGTGGTCAGTGCACATCATAGCAGCTGTTCAGTCGATTTGCATATTAGGGTTTTATTATATAGGATAAGTATTTTATACTTAGTAAATAGTTGTTTTCTTTCGCTTTGGCAATCTCTGTCTTATAATTGGTGCAGTTTGACCATATATTTTAATCTAATTATTGCTATATTAGAGGTTAAGTGTGTAAGTTTAATTTTTGTTTTATTACTTATTTTTGTTTGTTTCTGTTTTATTTTCCTGCTTATGGCAGGAGTTTTCTGGAATTCCAAATGTTTTTGAGTGTATCACTTCATATAGCATTTTTAGGATTGCTCTAGGTATTACATTTGTATATATATTATTAAAGTCTACTGGTGTCATCATTTTACCAGTTCTAATAAAGTATCAAAATCTTGAAAAAGAATCCTCTGGTGAGGATTAACAAACAAAACACAAACAGAATTGACGATATTATACAGCTTCTGTGTACTAGGTCCTTTTCTGTCTAGCCTGACTTTTTTATCAGTTGCCCAGAATCTGTTAGTTCACTAGAGAATGTGACAGGTAATCAGAAATAAGAAAAAAAAAACCTTCTACTTTACATAAGGGAAAGTGGTGTAGAAAGATTAATTTTCTGTTCATTTTCTACAACTAGTTAGTGATAAGGTTGAAATCCAAGTTCTTGATTTTTATTCGTGACTTGTTCTTTTTTCCCCCCAATTTTATTTCCCAGGATGATCCACATACTAACTTAGTGATTGAAGCTATAAAAAATGATCATCTAAGGCAAATGGAACGTGAAAGGTAATATTTGGGGCACTAAATAATTAAAACTTGATAATATTGTTTAAATTTATATAAAAGAGTCAAATGTGCATATGATTATTTCTTTGAAAAGTTGTTATATGCACTATATTTCTTGAATAGTCTTACTGTTTCATCATTTCTATACTCTACTGGATTCTCTTTTTTCTTCACAATAATCACATTACTCATTTGATTCCAGTTATTCTTCCCCAGTTACTCTTATTTCTTTGTAACTTACTTTCCCTCTGTATTTGGTGCCACATTGGAATTTTGTTTGCGTTACCTTTATTTTTAAAAAATTATATCTTTATGTGTTTTTGTCCAGTCTCCCAATTAAATTTCAACTCCCAAAGACAAAATTATTTCTATTTTATTCCTTCCTTCAGTCTGGTACTAGTCTCTGCAAAGTATGTTTTGAAACTTCTAATACTTATTGAATATTCAACTTGTATATTAGCAGTATATCACATGATATACAGGGCCCTTAGTTGTTTTTTAATTGTGGTACAATACACATAACATAGAGTTTACCATCTAAACTATGGTCCATAATTCTTCATGGTTCTGTAGTGTTAATTAAGTACATTCACAATGATTCGTAACAAGAACTTCCCTCAAATTCCTAAACTGCAACTCTGTACCCATGAACAACTCTCCAGCATCCCCTTCCCAGCCCCTAACACCCACCTTTCTACTTTTTGGTCTATGAATTTGTCTGCTCTAGGAACCTTATGTAGGTGAAACCACATTATTTGTCCTTTTGTGACTGTCTTATTTCACTTAGCATAGTGTCCTCAAGGTTCATCCATGTTGTAACAAGTGTCAGAATTTCCTTCCTTTTTAAGTCTGTACAATATTTCATTATATGTATGGAGGGAATCTTTAGGAAGTAGTTTAACTTTTAAAAGGAGACTTGTACTTCTGGAGAGATAAGAATAGATGCACTTTCCCCTGTTCTTCTCACTAAGTACAAATAACAACTCTGGAAATTACATGTAAATATGTATATGGAGTAAAATGGAGAGAAGAGGCTAGATCAAGGTATCTTGGGACATGATCAGTGAGTTCCCTTCATGTTTCTCAGACGTGGAGCTGAAGAAGCTGGAAAGCAGAAAATGCTCATGGGTGCATTAAACAAACAAACAAAAGACCTACTTTCTCTAGCTACAGGACAAGGAAAGGGGTAGGCCAGCAAGACAGACAACTTTTAGACCAATACCACAGAAAAAAAAACACCTGCCGAAACCGGTTTGGCTCAGTGGATAGAGCGTCGGCCTGCAGACTGAAGGATTCCGGGTTCGATTCCGGTCAAGGGCATGTATCTGGGTTGCGGGCACATCCCCGGTGGGAGATGTTCAGCAGGCAGCTGATCGATGTTTCTCTCTCATCGATGTTTCTAACTCTCTATCTCTCTCCCTTCCTCTCTGTAAAAAATCAATAAAATATATTTTAAAAAACCCCCCAAAAACCAAAACACCTGCCCTACCCCATGCATGCCAGCAAAAGCCAAGTGAGAGAGCCAGACTCCCACCCTCACAAGGCCAAGTAGGGAGCCAGGACTTTAATCCCCAAAGGCCCTTAATGAGTCTCACCACTCTGTGGTTTCAGTGGACAGTACATGTGGAGTCTAGAATTCCACCCCACCAGGCAATAACGAGGCAGTCCTCCCTCTCACCTGGGGTGGTGTCAGGGGAGATAGTGGATAATTAGGAATTTTCATCAGCAGCAGTAGCAAGGCCACCCCACTGTGGTGTCAGTAGGAACATGGTGAAAGTAGGAACTCCTCCTCCATCCAGCAGAAATGAGGGTACCCTCCTATCTTGGGTGTCAAAGAGACCATGCGGGGAAACTGGACTTCTTTTATATAGCAACACAAAGGTGATGTCTCTTCTTCCCCTGCCAGAATGATGTCAAAAAAACTATCCAAAACAAAAGACTTAAAATAAAATTCAGTCTCATAATGCAAAATGTTCAAGTTTTTATAAAAAAATCACTCATAATAACAAGAAAATCTTAAATTCAATGAAAAACAATTGATAGATGCCAACATTGAGATAACAGAGACGTTAGACTTATCTGACAAACTTTAAAGCAACTATGATAAAAAAGGGCTCCAACAAGCAATTATGAACATGCTTAAAATAAATTAAAAAATAGAATACCACCTGGCCACGTGGCTCAGTTGGTTGGAGCATCATCCTGTACACCAAAAGGTTGCAGGCTCGATTCCCAGTTGGGGCATAGACCTAGGTTTTGGATTTGATCCCTGGTCAAGGCATGTATGGGAGGCAACTGATTGATGTTTCTCTCTCACACCAATGTTTTTCTCTCTCTCCCTTCCTCTATCTAAAAAAAAAAAAAAAAAAATCAATGAAAAACATACCCACGGTTAAAGACTAAAAAGAAAAAATAGAACCCTTCAGAAAAGCAGTATTCTCAGCAAGAAAATATTACTATTACCTCAGTTTAAATATTGTAAAATAATTAGGTCACTTTATTATACCACTTAAATATCGTCCAATAAATATAAAACTATATATTAAAAAAAGAAGAGCCAAATGGAAATTTTAGAACTACAAATTACAATAACTGAAATAGAAATTTCCACAAATGGTCTCATTAGGAGAATGAATGGGAGAGAGGAAAGATTCAATGAACTAGAAGATAGAAAATGGAAATTACTGAATCTGAACAACAGAGGGAAAGTGGACCCAAAATTTTTTAAAAAAATGAACAGAGCCTCAGGAACTTCTCGGACTTTAACAGAAGATCTAATATTTGTGTCATCCATGTCTGGGAAGGAGAGGAGAAAGAGATGAGGCTAAAGAAATGATGGCTGGTAACTCTCCAAACTTAGCAAGAAAAAAAACCTACAATTAGAAAAACTGAACAAATTCCAAAGAGGATAAATAAGGAAATCTATGTCAAGATATATATTGATTAAACTTCTGGGAATTAAACGCCACATCTTGAAATGAGGCTGAGAAAAACAACACATAAGGGAAAAGTGATTAGAATGACAGTGGTAGTCTTAAATTAGTAACCTAAGCTCCCAGCTGAAGAACCTAGAAAAAGTAGAGCAGAATCAACCCAAAGGAAGCAGAAAGAAAGAAATAATAACAGGAATCATTGACATTGGGGAGAGAAACAATAGATAACATCAATGACAAAACAAAGAAGACACCAATGTCAGGAACAAGACGGGCTCTCACTACTGACCCTGCAGACATCAAAAGGATAATAAGGAGTTACTACAAACATCCCTATACACATAAATTTGACAACTTAGACCAAATAGACCACTTTTTTGAAAACACAAGCTACCACTACTCACCTAATATGAAATAGAGCACTTGAAGAGCCCTATATATATATTAGAGAAATTGAATTTATTATTTTAAAAATCCCAAGAAATCTGACCCAATAGAAAAATGATAGCAAATGTTTAAAGAAGAATTAACATCAGTTCTACACAATCTCTTCCAGAAAAGAGTTCATTTTATAAAGCTAGTATTACCCTGATACCAAAATAAAACAAAGTACCAAGGGAGGTGGGGGACGGGGAATATAGACCAATATCTTATGAATAGAGATACAAAAATCCTTCAGAAATTCTAATGAACCAAAATACTATCAAAATATAAAGGCGATTATATGCCATGAGCAAGTGGGATTTATTCTAGGAATGCCAGGTTGGCTTAGCATCTAAAAATCAGTTAATACATGATATGAATAGAATGAAAGACAAAAACAACATGATTGTCAGTATAAACCAAAAAAACATTTTGGGCAAAATTCAAAATCCAAAAAACCTTAACCAAGCTAGTAGTAGGAAGGAAGTGCCTCAGTCTGGTAAAGGACATATATGACAAATGCACGTTTGACATCACACTTAATGGTAAAAGACTGACTACTTTCCTCCTCAGATCAGGAACAAGAAAAGGGTATCTACTCTCACCAGTTCTATTCAGCATATGCTGGAGATTCTAACTATGGAAATTAGGCAAGAAAGGGGATTAAGAGACATCCAGATTGGAAAGGAAGAAGTAAAACTCTCTCTGTTTACAGATCACATGATCTTGAATACAGAATATCCAACATAAAATTTTAGAATCCACTAAAAAATGATTACCACTAATAAACAAGTTCAGCAAAGGTTGCAGAGTAAAGTATCAATATACAGAAGTCAATATATACTATAGAGAGATACTATTCTAATGACTTATATGAAAGTGAAAGTAACAATTATATTTACAATAGCATAAAATAATTAGGAATAAATATACAGCAAAACTTATGCCCTGAAAACTATAACCCATTTTGAAAAGAATGCTAAATAAATGAAATGATATCACATGCTAATGGATAGGCACTTAATGTTACTAAGATGGCAATGCTCCCCAAATTAATTTATAAATTCATCACAATCCCTGTCATAATCCCATCAGTGTTTTTTTAAGAAAATGACAAGTTGATCCTAAAATTTCTATGGAAATGTAAGGGATCCAGAATAGCCAAAACAATGTTGAAAAAGAAGACAAAATTGGAGGACTCAAACTGTAAATCTATAGCAATCAAGATAGTGTAATCGTGTTTAATCTAGTAGCATAAAGATAGATATATAAATCATTGGGTGAAATTGAGTATTGAGAAGTAACCTCTTACAGATATCCTCTATAATAAAAGGCTAACATGCAAATCAACCAAACGGCAGAACAACCAGTCACTATGACGCACACTGACCACCAGGGGGCAGACGCTCAATGCAGCAGCTGCTCCCTGGTGGTCAGGGCACTCTGCTCAGCTAGAAGCCAGGCTCACAGCTGGCGAGCGTAGTGGCGGTGACGGGAGCCTCTCCCACCTCTGCAGCAGCACTAAGGATGTCCAACTGACGGGGAGCAGGCCTAAGCCATCAGTGGGACATCCCCTGAGGGCTCCCGGACTGCAAAAGGGCGCAGGCCAGGCTGAGGGGACGCCCCTCCAAGTGCACGAATTTCCTGCACTAGGCCTCTAGTTGTCAATAAAGGTACCAGTACAATTTCACAGGAAAAAAGATAGTCTTTTCAACAGATTGTGCTGGGACAATAGATATTTGCATGCAAAGGAAGGAAGCTGGACCTCTCTGACACACCAAACACAAAAAAATACTTCAAAATAGATCATAGCCCTAACTAAATGTAAGGACTAGCTAGACCTGAAAAATTCTTAGTGGCAAAAAAAAAAAATGGAAGTAAATATTAAAGACCTTGTGTTAAGACAATGGCTTTTTAGTTATGACACCAAAAGCACATGAAAAGAAAAAAATAGGTGAATTAGACTTCATCAAAATTTAAAACTTTTGTTTTTCAAAGAATTTCATCAAGAAAGTGAAAAGACGATGCACAGAATGGGAGAAAATATTTGCAAACCATATATCCAAGAAGGGACTTATTTCTGTGATATATAAAGAGGTCTTCTAATTCAATAATTAAAAGATCATAACCTAGTTAAAAATGTACAAAAGGTCTGAGTAGACATTTCTTCAAAATAGATATGCAAATGTCTAATAAGCACTGTAAAAGATGCTCAACTTCTGTACTTACTAGAAAAATGCAACTCAGCACCACCATGAGATAACACTAATATGACTAAAATAAAAAAAGACAGATGTAATAACAAGTATTGGTGATATCACATCCAGTGGTATGACTAATAAAAAAGACAGATGTAATAATTATTGGCAAGGATGTAGAGAAATTGAATGGTGGGAATGTAAAATGGTACAGCCACTTTGGAAAACTGTGGAAATTCCTCAAAAGATTAAGCCAGAAATTTGTCTCCTAGGTGTGTACCCAACAGAAATTAGAGCAGTTATCCATACAATAACTTATATAGGAATGTTCATAGCAGCATTATTCATACTATCCAAAAGGTAGAAACAACCCAAATGTCCACAAACTGATGAATAAATGACACATGGTCTTTTCATACAGTGGAATAATATTTAGCCATGAAAAAGAATGAAGTATTGATACATATGAACCATAACATTATGATAAACTAGAAGCCCAGTGCACAAATTCGTGTATGGGTGGGGTCCGGTCAGCCTGCCCTGATCAGGCTGGGCCAGCTCGGGGGAGAGGCTGTGGGCAATTGGCCGGCTGGCCCTGCCCTCTGGTTGAACTCCCAGTTGAGGGGACAATTTGCATATTAGCCTTTTATTATATAGGATAAGAAAAACCAGTCACAAAAGACCACATGTTCTGTGATTCCACTTACATGAAAGAAAGGTATAGATGAGGCAAATCTATATAGGCATGTAGTAATTTCACTTTTATTTAACACACACTATTTCTTTAATGGCCATTTCCTTTAATGTCCATAGATAGTGCAGGTTATGGAATGTCAGCTGCAGAGCCATTTTTTTTCAAGTTCCTCTTTCTTTAGTTTGTCAGCATGTATCATAAAGTAGAAGAAAAGTGAACTGTTGACTCAGAAGGCAGTCATGGCTTCCATTTCCTAGTCATGATTTTCAACCTGACTTATAGATTTCTAGTGTAGCTGTTTATCATTCAGTAGGCTTCATGGTATGTTAACTTTGATAGATAATGTTTATACTTTTTTTTTACATTTTATACCATGTTTCTTTATAAAAAAATTTTTGTTTGTTTGTTATAGAAAAGCCATGGCTGAAAAATACATCATGACAGCTGCAAAACTCATTGCTCCTGTAATTGAAACATCTTTTGCTGTAGGATATGATTGGTAAGAGGGAAATTCAGTATAAGTAGATGTGTATGGTATTTTCTTTTCTTAATTTATACTTTTATTGGTTTAAATTTTTATCTGATATGATTTGCAAATATTTTCTCTTATTTTGGTTGTCTTGTCATTTTGTAGATTGTTTCTTTGCTTTACAGAAACTTTAGTTTGATGTAGTGTCACTTGTTTAGTTTTTCTTTTGCTCCTTATGCTTTAGGTGTCATATCCAGGCATTGCCAAGACCGATGCCAAGGAGCTTTTCCCCATGTGTTTGGGTTTTTTCTACGAACTTTATGGTTCTCATTTCTGATTTTATTTGAGTCTTTTCTCTTTTTCCCCCCCAGATAATCTAGCTAAAGATTTGTCAGTTTTGTCTGTCTTTACAAAAAACTAGCTCTTATTTTCGTTGCCCTTTTCTATTGTTTTTCTAGTTTCTGTTTCATTTATTTCGTCTCTAGTCTTTGTGTTTTTCTCTTTATTTCCTTTGGGCTTAGTTTGTTTTTACATTTTTAGTTCCTTGAGGTGTATAATTTTAATGATTTTTGTTCTTAATGTAGGTATTTATTGCTATAAACTTCTCTTTTAGAACTGCTTTTGCTGCATCCCATAAGTGTTGGTATGTTTTGTTTTCATTTTATTTGTTTTAAGATATTTTTTAAATTTTTCTTTTGATTTCCTCTTTCACCCATATGTTACTCAGGAATGTGATTTTTAATTTCTACATATTTGTGAATTTTTCAGTTTTCCTCTTGTTACTGATTTATAATTCCATACCATTTTCTAAGGTTTGTTTTGTAACAACACATGATCTGTCCTGGAGAAAGTTGTGTGTTTGCTTGAGAAGAATGTGTATTCTACTATTGTTGGGTGGAATGTTCTGTATATCTCTGCTAGGTCAATCTGAGCTAAGGTATAATTCAATTCCAATATTCCCTTTTTCATTTTCTGTTTGGATAATTGATCTATTATTGAAAGTAGGGTATTGAAATTTCCTGCTATTATTCTATTGTTATTTCTTCCTTCAGATCTGTTATTATTTGCTTAATATATTTTAGTGCTGTGATAGTAAACATTACATTTATAGTTATGATTGTTATATCTTCTTGATAACTAGACTTTTTTGTTGTTACATAGTGACTTTTTTATATTTTGTTACAGACTTTGACTTAAAGTCTATTTTGTCTAAGTATAGCTACTTTTTTGCTTTCACTTATATATGGAATACTAGAAGGCCCGGTGCATGAAATTCATTCACGGGGTGAGGGGGGTCCCTCAGCATGGCCTGCACCTTCTCCAATCTGGGACCCCTCAGGGGATGTCCAACTGCCTCTCACAATCTGGGACCACTGGCTCCTAACCACTCACATGCCTGCGTGCCTGATCGCTCCTAACCCCTCTGCCTGCCTGCCTGATCACCCCTAACTGCTCCCCTACTGGCTTGATCGCCGGTAACTGCTCCCCTGCTGGCCTGATTGCCCCTAACTGCCTCTGCCTCACCCTGCACCCGGGACCCAAGATTCCCTCCTCCAACCAGTTGCAGGCACCCGGGATCTGGGCTTCCCTCCCTCTGGCCGGCCGCAGGCACCCAGGACCCAGACCAGCTTCACCCAGGCCGGCTGTAACCACAGGGGACCGTGGGTGGGCGGCTTCGCCCAGGCTACAGCTGCAGCTGCTGGCGCCCAGGACCACGGGGCGGGTGGCTTGTCCCTCTCTCGGGCCGTAGCCGCAGGTGCTGGCACCCGGGACCGTGGGGCGGGCAGCTTGTTCCTTTCCCGGGCTGCAGGCACAGGTGCAGCCACTGGCATCCAGGACCCTGAGGCAGGCAGCTTGTCCCTCTCCCGGCCACAGCCTGGCTAATCCCCATTCCTCTCTCACAAGCTCATTTGTGCCTGGCTGGTCCCCATTCCTCTCTCCCCAGTGTTGAGTGTCTGAGCCGTTAAGGCAGTGGTTCTCAACACCTTTAATAATGCCGCAATCCTTTAATACGCCAGGTACTTGTATGTGGGTGTATTTGCATGTGGGCAGACCCTCCTGGAGACAGATAGAGGAGTGGTGTCTCGGTTCCTAAGACCATCGAAAATATGTGTTTTCCGATGGTCTTAGACGACCCCTGTGAAAGGGTTGTTCGACCCCCAAAGGGGTCGCGACCCACAGGTTGAGAACCGCTGCGTTACTGTATGATGTCATGAGGGCATGATGACCATTTGCATATTAGCTCTTTATTATATACGGAATATATTTTTTTCCATCCCTTGAATTTGAGCCTATGTGTGTCCTTACAGCTGAAGTGAGTCTCTTGTAGGCATAATATAGTTAGGACTTGTTTTTAATCTATTCAGACACTCTGTGCTTTTTTATTGGAGAATTTAATCCATTTACACTGAAAGTAATTTTTTTTTTTTAGTTTTATGCAAAATTATTATATTCTTTAAGTTTGAGATGCTTTTATGAATAAGTTCTAGTTATTGAGAAAATTCTGTTTTTGAAGGAATATCCCCCCCCCCCCCAAAAAAAAAAATTGAAACATATAGCGTGTATTTTAAAAGAAAAAGGACAAAGGATGCAAAAGTATTAATGGTGACTTCTACAAAGCCCTCGTCTGCGACACTGATGCGGGCAGGTGTTCTGTTCCTGTGATGGATTACAGACCAGGAAGCCGTGGGGTTCAACCAAGGCAACCCGGCCAGGTCAGATGTGGAGCTTAAACCCCAGTCCTCAGGGCACCTTCATAGAGTTTACGTCCTGCTTTTTCTTCCTCTTCCTCTTCTTAAAGGATACCTTTCAGCATTTCATATAATCCTGGTTTGGTGGTGATGAACTCCTTTAGCTTTTCCTTATCTGTGAAGCTCTTTATCTGACCTTCAATTCTGAATGATAGCTTTGCTGGATAAAGTAATCTTGGTTGTAGGTTCTTGGTATTCATCACTTTGAATATTTCTTGCCACTCCCTTCTGGCCTGCAAAGTTTCTGTTGAGAAATCAGCTGACAGTCTTATGGGTATTCCCTTGTAGGTAACTGAGTTTCTTTCTCTTGCTGTTTTTAAGATTCTCTCTTTATCTTTTGCTCTTGGCATTTTAATTATGATGTGTCTTGGTGTGGTCCTCTTTGGATTCCTTTTGTTTGGGGTTCTCCGCGCTTCTTGGACCTGTAAGTCCATTTCTTTCACCAGGTAGGGGAAGTTTTCTGTCATTATTTCTTCAAATAGGTTTTCAATATCTTGCTCTCTCTCATCTTCTGGCACCCCTATAATTCTGATGTTGGTACACTTGAAGCTGTCCCAGAGGCTCCTTACACTATGCTCGCATTTTTGGATTCTTTTTTCATTTTGCTTTTCCGGTTGGGTGTTTTTTGCTTCCTCGCATTTCAAATCATTGACTTGATTCTTGCGCTCCTCTGGTCTGCTGTCGGGAGTCTGTATAATATTCGTTATTTCAGTACGTGTATGCTTAATTTCTAGTTGGTTCCCCAATATAACATCGAGGGTCTCATTGGTTTTCTTGTAGATCTCATTAAGTTTATCGGCGGCTTCTAAACAGTTCTTGAGAGACCTTAAAAGTGTGGTTCTGAACTCTATATCTTCCATTGACAATTTTGTCCTGTTTCTTTGTCTCCGCATTTTGTTATGCTTCCTTGGTGCACCCCCTAGTGGTCTTTGTGCGCAGTCTTATAGTTAAACCTTGATTGTTGTAGCTAATACCAGAGAGGGTTTGACCTCCAGGCCAAGTGGCTATGAGAATCAGCTGTGTCAGCAGTGAGAGAACTTCTGTCCTCTAGGGAGGTGCTAATCTAGCCTTTGCCTGAGGCTATCCGGCAAATGCCTCTGTGCAGGGCTTGAGCAGGGCGGGTCGCACAGGATCAACAGGGTGGGCTGGAGAGAGCAGTTATGGCGGCTCTCAGTCCTGTCCCCAGGGGCTCTGCCTCTCTGAGTCCCAGCACCCGCTGCATAGCTCGGAGAGAAAGCTGCACTCGCTCTGACCGAAGCCAGACAGTCCCGCTTCTCCCGTTTGAGTCTGGGTCACTAAAGACTCGCCTGTATCTGGAGCTCAGAGTCTGTGACTCCCTCCCGATTGAAAACGCCAACCGCGCCCTCCGCTGCCAGCCGGCTCCGCGCACTCCGCACCTCAGAATTTGACTTCAGCACTGCGCCTCCTCTGAGTGTCCGTATCCATTTCTCTTTCCTCCTAGTTGTAGGACTTCCACTCAGCCAGCGTTCCTGTGGTTCTGGGTGATGTCCCTTCCGTCTTTTAGTTTCACTTTTGAAGTAGTTGTTCAAAGCAGCAAACTCCGGCGTTAACCTATGCCGCCATCTTGGTTCTCCCGCAAGCCTTCTTGTAAGCGAATGAAAGTAATTTTTTATAGCTAAGAATATTTATAGGTTAATTAGTAATTATTGATAGGCACTAATGCCATCATATTGCATTCTGGTTCTTTTGTAGTTGCTTTGTTTCTTCTTCCTCCTTTTTCTTTTGCTGTCTTTGTGAATTGATGATTTTCTGTAGTGGTATGGTTTTATTCCCTTCTCTCTCTGTTTTGTGTATCTACTGTAGGTTTTTGCTTACATAAATATCTTATAGATATAACAGTCTATTCTAAGCTAATAACAACTTGAATTGCATAGAAAAGCTATCCATTTACACTCCCCATAATTTTGATCTTGATGTCATAATTTACCCCTTTTTATATTGTGTATCCATTAACAAATTCTTGTAGCTATACTTATTTGTAATACTTTTTTCTTTCAACCTTTAAACTAGAGTTAAGTGATTGACATACCACCATAATAAAATATTAAAGTATTCTGAATTTGACTATATAGTTACCTTTTCCAGTATATTTTATATTTTTATGTTACTAGTTAGTGTCCTTTCATTTCATCTTAAAGAACTCCTTTCAGCATTTCTTATAAAGCAGGTTAGTGGTAATGAATTCCCTCAGCTTTTGTTCATTTGGTAAATCTATTTTTCATTTCTGAAAGACAATTTTGCCAGGTAAAGTATTCTTGGTTGCCCTTTTTCTTGTTCTTTCTTTCTTTTTTTTTTTTTTTTTTTTTTTTTTAGCAATTTGAATATATCATCCCACTCTCCAGACCTGCAGGTTTCTGCTAAGAAATCTGCTAAAATCCTTATGGGGATTCCTTATATGTAAGTAATTATTTTACTCTTGATGATTTTAAAATTTTCTCTTGTGTGTAACTTTAGCCAGTTTTATTATAATGTGTCTTAGAGAAGATTGTTTTAGGTTAAAATTTTGGAGTTACCCATTAGCTTCATGAACTTGGATGCTCAAATCTCTCTCCAGATTTGGGAAGTTCTTAGCCATTATTTCTTTAAAATAAGCTCTCTGCTCCTTCTCCCTCTCTTGTTCTTCTTGGACTCTAGTAATACGTAGATTATTTCTTTTAATGATATCCCAAAATGCATGTAGAATTTTTTACTCTTATTCATTCTCTATTTTGCTCCTCTGACTGATTATTTCAAATGACCTGTCTTCTAGTTCATTAATTCTTTCTTGGCTTGGTTGAGTCTCCTATTGAAGCTTTTTATGAATTTTTTAGTTCAGTAATTGTATTCTTCAACTCTAGGATTTGTTTATTTTTTAATGGTTTCTATGTCTTTGTTGAATTTCTTTATTAACTCACTGTGTTCCTAATTTCATTTAGTTGTCTGTTTTCTTGTAATTGACTCAGTTTCTTTAGAAGATTATTCTGAATTTATTGTCAGACAGTTAATAGATTTCCATTTTTTATGGTCACTCATTAGTGTCGCTACAGTGGGGCCTTGACTTACGAGTTTAATTCATTCCGTGATGGAGCTCGTAACTCAAATTACTCATATGTCAAATCAAAAAGTGGACGAGTGAGACACATGATGCTGGGCTGATGTTGTGGCGTTGACTGTGACGTTCACTGCGCCAACTAGCAGTGGGGTGTCTGAAGCTGGCTCGTAACCCGAATTTTAGCTCGCAACTCAAAGCAAAAAATTGGCCGAGAGACGGCTCATATCTCGAAAAACTTGTTAGTCGGGACACTCGTAAGTCAAGGCCCCACTGTAGTTTCCTTGGGTGATAATATATTTCATTGTTTATGATCCTTGTGCCCTTGTGTTGGTGTCTGTATATTTGAGGAAGTTGGAACCTCTTCCAGTCTTTACAGATTGACTCTGTTGGGCAAAGCCCCTCACCAATCAGCCTGTGCAGAGATTCTGGGTGTACCATCTGGTGGTGTTTGCCAGCAGACTGCTGGGGTACTTGGGTAGGCAGGTCTGGTGGCTGAATTAGCAGATCAGCAGGCCTAGTGCTTAGGTACACAGGGACCTGCCTAGTACTGTATGTAGGGGTGCACCTGGGTCAATTGGGACAGGCTTTGTGTTTGAATCTGTGGTTATGTGGCTGGGACCTCGGTCTGCATGGACACACTTGGATTCTAGGTCCCCAAGGGCAAATCAGGCACTAGGGACTACTGGGGTGGGTTCAGCATCTAGGTCCCCAGAGGCTGGTCTGGTACTGGCATAGACCAGGAGCCTGGTTTTGCAGGAGTCTACCTGGAAGCTAGGGCTACATGGGCCAGCTTAGCCCCAGAGCAGTCCTGGAGTCTGGGGCTACAGGAGTTGGCCTCTAGCTGGGGCCCTCAGGAACTGACTTGAAGGTTGGGTCAGTAGAGGTTGTTGTGGCACTTAGATGGACCAGAAACCTGAATCTATGGGAGCTGCCCTTGGCTGGTCTATTGGTCTAGGGCAGAGGCTTTGAAACATTTGGCCTGGTACTGAGGTGGGTTGGGGCATGGGGTGACACAGTGAAATGTCCAGGAGACACATGGAACTTTTTTAAAGTATAGGGTTAGTAAGGATAAAAGCAGGGAAAAGGGAGGACATTCTAAGTAGAGAGAAGAGTGTTCTTAAAAGGGCAAACGCTAGCAGCCCTTCTCACATAGAATCCTACAGTTAAGTCCTGAGGTTCTGAGGCATCTTATGCAACTAGAATGGTGAGAGCTATGTACCATCCTTAGGAAAATTGTGGGAAAATTACTCAAATAATTTTTCTTTGCAGAACCCCATTTGAGAAAGAAAGGCAGGGGAGCATGATGCATTTGTCTTTGAGACCCTTGATTTGTTAATGGCACCACAGTGAATTAATCCATTTCTTAAATAGTTCCTGCTTTTTTTGTCTTCCACATTTGTGCACATGCTAACCCCCTTCCTGGGATGCCCTTCCTGTTTTTTGTTTTGTTCTTTTCTTTTTAAAAAAATAAAAAATGTTTCTATTGATTTTTTTTAGAGAGAGGAAGGGAGAGAGATAGAGAGATAGAAACATCAATGAGAGAGAAACATCAATCGGCTGCCTCCTGCACACACACACACCCCCTCCCCCCATAGGGCATAGAGCCCACAACCCAACCGGAAATCCAACTGGTGACCTCTTGGTTTGGGGGTTGACACTCAACTGCTGAGCTGCACCAGCTGGGCTCTTTTGTTTCCTTCTTATCCTCACCCAAGGATGTGTTTACTGGTTTTAAAGAGAGAGAAACATCAGTGTAAGAGAGAAACATTGATCAGTTGCCTCCCATACACGCTCCCAACTGGGGATGGATCCTGTAACCTAGGTATGTGCTCTGACTGGGAATCAAACCTACAACCCTTTCGGCATATGGGATAACACTCTAACCAGCTGAGTCACCCAGCCAGGCACCTTTCTCATTTTTGCCAACTCAGTTCTTGTTCTTCAAACTGAGTGCAGATATCTCTGGAACTCCTTTCCCCAGTCTGGTCTAGATGATCTGTTCTTGTATTCTTGTATTCTTTACAACAGTTCTCACACAGTGTATTTCACTGGCCTATTTCCTTCATAAAAGCATGAACATTACTTTACTTATACTTACATCCCTGTACCAAACATAATGTCTGATGTACAGTAGACAGTAAAATGTTTGCTGAATACATAACTGAATCAGTGTTTTCCAGATTATTTGATTGGAGTTCTTGAAGTTTCATTAGCCCTGTCTACAAGTTAATTTATTGGGTGGGGCTGGGGACAGAGGGTCATTGAAAGGAGCACTGAGCAGGCGGGGCATCAAGTCCTCTCTCCCCACTTCAAGCACAGGGTCTCTTTTATAAATCAAGATTAAAGTAAAAAGATTCTGCTTGAAGAAAGAGATCTGCTTTAATAGTTTTAAACTATTGGTCTAGGCCAGTGGCTTTGAAACATTTGGTAACCAGACCTTCAGTAAGAAATATATTTTCCATTGTTTTTTTGTTTTTTTTTTGTTTTTGTTTTTTTAAATATATTTTATTGATTTTTTACAGAGAGGAAGGGAGAGAGATAGAGAGTTCATGAAACAGTCCTTGCCCTTATTATGTACAATGCCCATTGGTATTTTTTCTATTATGTTTTTTTAAATAAGGTTCATGATCATATTTTAAATTAATCATGTTAATTAATCTAACTAATCCTAAATTGATCTCAATTGACCTCAATTTTAAGACCAGTGGTCTTCGTACAATGGGTATTGGGTTCAAATTCTTTACAGTTTCCTACCTGTGTGGGCTCAGGTCTCCATTTTCCTACCCATAAAGTAGAGACAATGCTTGTCATTCAAGGTTGTTATGGGGATTAAATGTGACAATGCTTGTAAAGAATTGGCACAGTGCCTACTATACTGTAAAGAGAAAAAAATAGACATTCTGTGTGCTTTGGGCAACAGACCTACAATTGTCTGTTCAAGTTTGAACTCAAAAAAATTAAATATGTTCTATAGTTTCTTTTGAATTTTCCTCACCATCACATCATTTAAGATGAAAAAAATATATAAAAACAATTTTACATGTTGGAAATTGTTTTAGTAAATGAAAAAATCAGAATGTAGCTATCAATCCAATTTCACTTAAAATACCATAAATATTTAGAAATGACAGCAGGCTAGTGAAAAATTGGGTGAGGAAATCATTTGAGAACTAAAGAATTCAGTAACTTAATGCCATTATTGGAACAAAGCAAGTACTTAGCCTTACATAACACTAGGGACACTTAAAAAATTTTTTTCAAAAGTCACATTTAAGAAAACAATAACAAAATACTAAAACAAAAGCCGAAACCGGTTTGGCTCAGTGGATAGAGCGTCGGTCTGCAGACTGAAAGGTCCCAGGTTCGATTCCGGTCAAGGGCATGTACCTGGGTTGCGGGCACATCCCCAGTGGGAGATGTGCTGGAGGCAGCTGATTGATGTTTCTCTCTCATCGATGTTTCTAACTCTCTATCTCTCTCCCTTCCTCTCTGTAAAAAATCAATAAAATATATTAAAAAAAAAAAATACTAAAACAAAATAACCTTTTTCCCACTTTACATTATAGGTGTGTCGAAGTTGTGAAAGCTTCTCAATATGTAGAGCTAGCAAATGACCTGGAAATAAACAAAGCAATTACATATTTGAGACAAAAGGACTTTAACCAAGTAAGTTTAAAAACTTAGATGAAATTTCATGTTAATGGAACAAAACAATAGTATTGGGAAACTCCTCTCTAGAATAATGTTACCTCTGAATATTTTGAAGTTGGGTGACTTCTATCTGACCATAATTTCCATTAGTATGATACTTTGTTTGAATTTTGACCAGTTTGTCCTGTTTTTTGTTTGTTTGTTTTTTAAATCCTAACCCTAGGACATGTTTTTATTGACTTTAGAGAGGAAAAGAGAGACAGAGAAACATCGATATGAGAGAGAAACATCAATCAGTTGCCTCCCGTATGCACCCCGACTAGGATTGAACCTGCAACCTAGGTATGTGTCCTGACCAGGAATTGAACCTGCTACCTTTTGGTGCATGGGACAACATTCCAACCAACTGAGCCACCTGGCCAGGGCAGTCCTGTTTCTTAAAATGTAAATGCTTTTTAGGTAAAACATGATTGCTTACTAAATTACTAAACTATGTTCTAGTCCAGAGATCAACTTTCTCCTAGAGGTTTTCAGGCTGCTGCCTGAAGCTGTAAGGTTTTTCAGAATTAGGTATTATGTGTATGAGAAAGAAGTCCAGGACCTGGAATGGCAGCCTGGTGCTCCCATCCACTGTTTTCACTTGCTCTCTGTTTTGTTTTTGTTTTTCTTATTGATGTTGCATTGCGCCTAAAAGGGTCCTACTGATCACACAGTTTCAGAATCCTCCAGGATCTCTCACTGTACCACTCCTTTCTTGCTGCCTTGGGTGAAGGTGGAACAGGTGAGACATAGTTGACAAACCAGAATAGACAGCTTTATAAGAGGGGGAAGGGGACAAAAGAGAATAAACAGAATGAAACTTGATATTCTAGTTTATCAAACCAATGGTAAGTGTCATATGTGCCAGCAACCAGAAAACTCAGCTCCTCTGAGTTTAGACCCAGAGAGCAAGGGCCAGAGAACATCCTATCCCAAGCCTGTGTTTTCAGGCTTTCTTCCAACTGAAGGACCCTCCTTTTTTCTAGGAGACTATAGGAATCACTAACTCCTTCTAGTCACTTCTAGAGCAGTGAGGAGAATGCCATCGACTCCAGTGTTCATGTTATGAATACGTGATTAATACAGTGCAGTGCCATGGACTGATTCCATTTTGTATATGAATTTAGCGTGCTTAACATTGCTTTAGCACCCTGGCTGGTGTGGGCCAGTGATTAGAGTGTTGGTCCGAGCACCGAAGGATGGAAGGTTTGATTTCCAGTCAAGGGGAGGTGCCTGGGTTGCAGGTTCCATCCCCAGCCCAGTTGGAGTGTGTGGGAAGCAACCAATTGATGTGTCTCTCTCTCTCTTTCCCTCCCTTCCACTCTCTCTCTAAAAAAAAAAAAAAAAAAAAATCAAACGAAAAAATACCCTCGGGTGAGGATTTAAAAAATTGCTTTAGCATTTGTAAAGCACTAAAAAAACTTTTCAAAGGGTCTTTATATCTATTCTTTTATTTGATCATTACACTGTTGGTCATTAAAAGTGCCACTGATAGCTCTTTAATGCTGCTGTCATGCTGCTTGAATGGAAGTGAAGGGAGACAGCTTGTTCTTTGTTATCCTGCTGAGGTCATCTCTGGATCAAAAGAAATAGTTTTTGTTTGTGTGATAAGTACTGTAATAGGTCACAAAATAGAAAAAAAATGTTTGCCAATTTTCTCAATATTTCATTTTTAAATGATCTTTTCAGAAAGATTTAACAATGTATTACCATAGTTCAAGGCTTTAATAACAATCTCTTTACCTGTATTTTAAGTCAGAATGTAATCTCTGCTTTCTTTTCAATTAGGGAGTTTTCTTTCCCTCTCACGTGACTTCAGAAGTTAATGGCTGTGTGTTAATTCCTGTTCACATGACTTATGTTTTAAATTAGCACATACATTTGTGACATAATCTGAAAGTAAAGATAAAAACATCTCAATTCTTATTCAAAGTGAAATGCAACTTATAAACTTACATAAATAGTGGCTTTTCGATGAATAGTATGGAGACTGAGTGAGGGGTCAATAAGGTGACTTCCACTGGTGTGCAGTACAAGCAGCAGTCACTTCCGATATAGGTTTTAGGAGCTTCTTGGCAGTTTAATAGAGGACTTGTTCAAGAACATAAGTGAAAGAGAATCACAAAAGCAAGGGCATGTTTAGGTTTTTTTCTTCCAGATTTTACTTTGTGGAATTATAAACTGTTGGCCTAGAAACTCCCAACAGTTTTCTTAAAAGTAATAAAAAAAACACCCTGAAAATAATTATTATTTACTTATATTATAACCAAGGCTTATGGAATCTACTATTTTTAAATCTTCTGCCCTTAAAAACATTGAGTCAACTATGTTTCATGGTACTTCGTTTGAGTTCAGACATCTGAACAGCGTATAGGTCAGGTATTTTCAATACCAGCGGCTGATGGCCATTGTCAAAGCTCAAGTAGGACTTTTGCTGGGACACAGTGCTCTCTGGGAGCAGGAGGCACAACAAGGCAAAGCATTTTTTACTCAGTAAATGCATTTGGAAGGGAGGAGAAAAGAAGGAAGAAAGGAAGAAAGAAGGAGAGAGGGAGGGAGGGAGGGAGGGAAGGAGGAAGGAGGAAGGAAGACCCATCATCTTTTTCTAATTCTTTTTTTACACCCTGATATATCTCGGTAATTTCCAGTTTGATAACTCATTTACCTTTCATGCAAGGTGTCTGGCCATTCCAAATGTCCAGTTTGGTTACGATTATCTCAGACCTCTAGGTGGTTAAAAGTGTACTTTGATTTCTCATGGCTTTAAAATGTACTTCTGTTTGTGTCTACTTCATATCATTTTCTGTATTTCTTCCCCTTCTGGAATTCCAGTTATGTTTGTCAGTGGTGGTCAAGGGGGGCGGGGGGGCGGCCATCTCTGGCCTAGGTAAGCTCTGGCCAGAGACAGTACTCTGTGCCCCCCAGTTCTTGTCTTGCTTGTAGGAATGAATCCAAGCAAGAGACAACAAATAGCAAAAGCAGGTGAGGATTTATTTGTAGGAAAGAAATACACTCAGGACCTGAGTGGGCAACTCAGCCAGCAAGACCGAACCAAGTGCCCTGAGCAGGCAGCTCAGCTGACTGAGGCCAAACCGAGTGTCCTGATATTTGGGAGTTAGAGGATTTTTACTCCTAGGCTGGAACGCCCCTAGGCAAGGAGCAAGTCACCCTCTCCCTCATGTCTCAAAGCAATGTATCTATAAGTTATAAGGCTCTTCATCTAGGTGCTCTCCACCAGTTAGACCACATCCTGGAGGGCTCTAAATCTTTGCCCCTCACATGGAGGCCTGCCACCTCCATTGTCTGTTTTCAGTTTGTCGCTTCTCACATATATTTTCTCCCAAGCCCCAGCTTCCTCTCCCAGCTCATATCTTTCTAGCCGCCTACTCTAACATGTTTATATGAGATTTCACTCTGTTCCTATATGTCTCTTATGGTCTTTTCTAAGAACATTTTTTAGCCTTTTATTTTTCTGTGCTTATTTTACTAGTATTTAGTTGGAACATTTTCTGGGATCTTGTTTTATCTTCAAATCCTGGTTGCCTCTGTAGCTCTCCAGTGCCTTCACAAAGTATTTTCAGTATTTTATTTAATTTTCTAATTGTTCTCTGTAGGAGAATGGTCTTCTATAGGCTAGTTTCTAATAGCCAGAAGCAGAAATTCTAGAATTATTTTACAAAATGCAAATTGGATCATGTCTTTTAGGTAATACCTTATGGCCCACCCCATTATGCAAGGCAAACGAAACTGTGTAACAAGACTCACAGGCTAGATATTTACTTTCTCTTCTGCTGTGTCTAATATGGAATTAAACCCATCTATTGCATTCTTAATTTTATTATTTATTTTTTAAATACATAAATATTTTTAATTGATTTCATAGAGGATGGGAGCGGGAGAGAGAAATAAAAGCATCAGTGATGAGAATCACTGATTGGCTGCCTCCTACTGGGGATCAAACTCAAAACCTGGGCATGTGCCCTTGACCGGAATCAAACCGGGAACTCTTCAGTCTGCAGGCCAACGCTTTATCCACTGAGCTAAACCAGCTAGGACCATTCTTAATTTTAGTTACTGTATTTTTAGTGTAATTTTATTTTTTATAAATTTTAATTCTCAAATGAAATTCTCAATTTGTCATCTGTTTTTTAAAACATATTGATGAAGCTGTCTTTTTTCAGTCCCTGCTCCTACAGTTCAGATACTAATCTTGCCCCAACTGTAAACCTGAACACTGTCATATTACATTGGTAATAACTTTCAGATATTTTATTTCTAGGCTATAGAGACTTTGAAAATGTTTGAAAAAAAGGACAGTAGAGTAAAAAGTGCAGCTGCAACCAACCTCTCATTCCTGTATTATTTGGTAAGTTTTATGTTTTTACAACTAAGAGTTGATAATGTGGTATTTTCATGTTGCTAAATTTCTGCCTGAGGAGCTAGCTGGCCTAAGGAGAGGCTCACGAGAGGACATGCAGAATGTCAGTGGTATGGCGTATATGGAGGGTCAGGTCATGAAAAGTTCTGGGTTAGGGGTTGAATTTATGGGCATGAGTGAGAGGACCATCTCAGGAGGAGAAGGGAGGGTGAAAAGTAGTGGAAACATCACATCATGAAATTGTAGAGTGTAGACCTGGGAGATGAGCTGGAGACACATTTCAGTTCGATCCTAGTAATAACAAAAGTGACATCTTAGGTTATATGACTTATGTAAGGTCAAAGTGTCATCTGTAACAAGCAGAAGTTGAACATCTATGGATGCCAATCATGGGGAATACCAAAAGGCTAAAACTTCCTAAAAACGGAACATTCTTAATTTAGAGTGAAGGTGGCAGGTGGGTAGAGTAGGAAGGAAGAAAGGTTGGTTGAAAGTAGAGAATAACAAATTAATGTGAGATACTAAATGCTTAGAAATTCAGAGGAAGCAAATAGCATTTTAATTTAGGGATTTGGGGGACAATCCCAGAGAGAAGTTGGATCTTAAAAGTCAGACTATAGATAAAAGAGAAGGGAACATTTGTGTGGAAACTAAGGGAGTAAACAAAGCACAGAGGCAAGAAAGCTGGGAGGGATGGGGTACTTAGGATCATTGTGTTTGATTCTACTACACTTTCAGTCCCTCTCAGAGCTTCTGGTTTGTGCACATTGAGAATTGTTGCCACATAGAACCTCTCTTATGGTGGAAAGATGTTATGGCCCTCATGTGTTAAGAGGGAAAGGAGATAAAACCCCTGGTGAGGAAGGACCCCAGTGTTTTATTCTGTTGGCATGAGAGTGGTGCCAGGGGCATGTCCAGAGGAGTGTGTGATTAGGGGGACAGATGCCAAGTTTGTTCTTAAATATATTTTTAAAATTTTTGTAGTGATGGTGATATAATTCAAATGGCCATTGAGGCATGTGGAACACTGTACTCAGACAGGAAGTCAGATTAGAGATAAAATTTGATGATTGTCTCTATGCATAATAAGTTTTCATAATAGATGCTATGGACTGAATTGTGTGCCCCAAAAATTATGTGTTGAAGCCCTAAGCCCAATGTCGGCAGGCATCTCAGTCCTTCACAACGCTTCTCTAGCAGGAGAGCCTAAACTTCCTACATGGGATAGGGTCCATTGAGGAGACCCAAGTGCACAGGTGTTTATCAAGTTCCCTTGTGCATTGAATTTGTCATCTTATTGGGCAAAATGAACATGGGAGAGAAACATACAGGGGCATGAAGACTGGTCAGTGTGATCCATTGGGGCCATTGTTTTAACAGTGAGTGTATCACTGCCTGCATTCCAGGCCTAGTTATTCACATCCTTTCCATATGCAAAATGTACATACCCCTCCCAACACTCTCATAGTCTCATCATCGTAGTGAAAGACCAACCACTGCATAAGGTCTAGATAGAGATTGAGCTTTATCAAACACAGATCCTCTTGATCTAAAGATCAGGGAACAACAACAAAAAAAATGTAATCTGCCCCGTACACTTAATAACCCATGGTGAGATAAGGCTAGGAAAACTGTAATAGACACTCCTATCCAAAAGGGGTGGGATGGAGGCATTAGTTCCTAGCAGTTCTGAAACCCAGCTAAGCACTTGTGGTCAGTGCCCCCTGAACATGGGAAAAGAGAGTGATCTTTGATGAGGGCCCAGCTCTGATCCCTGGTGGGTAGTCCCCAATCCTTTGGTCTCTCTGGCTCTTGGCTCTACCCTCCGAGAGCACCTTACTTTTACAGAAAAAAATCAATAACAACCTGTGTTTGCAGCTGGTTAACTCTCTTAGCCTGCTTTTTGCCCAGAGAAATTGGGGACCCAGAGGCCTTTTTTCATTTTGTTCTATGTCTGTCCCTTTAATGCAAGCTGGCAACACTTTATTTATTCCAACTCCCTTAAAAACTTGGAAATTTTCTATACATCTTATTGGGGTGTTCTTTATGCCCCCAAAGCCACATCCATAATTCTTTTCAAGGCAGACCCTTTTCTACTTACCATAGATGTATGAGGCTGCTGTGGAACAGAGTCCTAAACATACTACCTGAGAGAGAAGGTTGGCTCTGTTAGGCACCATCATAAATATGAAATGTTTCCAAAGATGATAGAGCCACATTCTTGATTTGATTTCTGCCCTGCAGCCATTTCTTTGAGGATCTCTTGTCACCAAGACATGAAATATATAAATGCCACTGAACTGTACATTTTTAAAGGGTAAATATTTGAAATATATCTCAACTTTTCAGAAATTCCATCAGGGAGTGTTATAAGAGAAGGGATATGGGATTTAGAACATGCACAGTAGTGGAGATGCTGTGGGGGTTAAGGAGAAGAAGGGGTGTTTGGGGACCTGAGCAGAGGTTACCATTCAGTCAGTGAATTGCCTAGTATGTCCAGAAGCCACCCAAGGGGGACTTCATGGAGCAGCTGCCTCCTTTTGGTGCACTGCCAAGACAGCATGGATCTGGGTCACCACTGTCAGGAGGGACAGTGTAGGCAGGAAGAAGAGTCAGGTGTGGAGTAGTTGTGAATGAGGACAGGCTAGAACCCAAGCATTTCTGTATCAGACAAGCATTTGATGGCCAGAAAAGGACCCGCAGAGAGGAAGGCTGCTGCTTCATATTCTAGAAGTTCCCTTCAGCCAACTCTGGACAAGAGCCACACAGGTAAAGGTGTTCTGGGAACTGTGGCTCCTGGCTTAGCTAAGCCAACAGGGCACCAAAGGCCACGCCACCGAAGAACTGAGAGGTCCCCGTGGCTCACATGAATGATGGCAGGGTCCTGATGGAGCACTTGGCAGCGAGACAGCATGAAGGAGTGCAGACAATCGAGTGCTAGAAATGTAGGACCTAGTAGGTGACCCACCCAGTTACATCAGGATAGACAGACAGTGATGCCTTCATAACTACTTTAGAACTTGAGGTTTAAGAAGCATGGTTTGCAGTAAACACTGATGTGAAATTTGGGCATTTGAAATGGAAACATCTACATATAGTGATGTTATTCAAAACATGAGACCGTGGAGACATCAATCATAAGACACTTAGGTAGTTGAAAGTGCTGATGAGTACAAATCTTTTGTAGAATAAGCCTATCAAATGGAGATATGTAAAATACTTGTTTCTGTTTTTCCTATCTGTAATCTCAAAAAAAAAAAATTTGATGAACTTCAAATAATTTGTATATGTTTTGTGCTTTAGGAAAATGACTTTGCACAAGCCAGCAGCTATGCAGATTTAGCTGTAAACTCTGATAGATATAATCCATCTGCTCTTACTAACAAAGGGAATACAGTGTTTGCAAATGGTGATTATGAGAAGGCAGCTGAATTCTATAAAGAGGCTCTGAGAAATGATTCTTCTTGTACTGAAGCACTTTATAATATTGGTAAGTAAGAGAGGATAAGTTGTTTTTTGTACTTTTTAAAATTTATTTTTGTTGAGAGTATTACAGATGTCCCCCATTTTCCCCCTTTGACCCCCTCTACCCAGCTCCCACCCCACCCAGACTTTCACCACTATTGTCTGTGTCCATGGGCTATGCATATATGCATATAAGTTCTTAGGTTGATCTCTTCCCGCCCTCCCCTCCCCACTTCCCTCAGATATCTGTCAGTCTGTTCCATGCATCCATGACTCTGGACCTATTTTGTTCATTAGATTCCACATATAAATGAGATCATATGATATTCATCTTCCTCTGACTTACTTATTTCACTTCGCATAATAATGTCTAGGTCCATCGATGCTGTCTCAAAGGGTAAGAGGTCCTTCTTCTTTACAGCTATATAGTATTCCAATGTGTAAATGTACCACAGCGCTTTTATTCTCTCATCTACTGATGGGCACTTAAGCTGTTTCCAGGTTTTAGCTATTGTAAATAACTGTACTATGAACATAAGGAGGCATATATTCTTTCTGATTGGTATTTCAGGATTCTTAGGATATATTGCCAAGGTTGGGATTGCTGGGTCAAATGGCAGTTTCATTTTTAAATTTTTGAAGAAACTCCATTCTATTTTCCATAATGGCTTCAACAGTCTGCATTCCTACCAGCAGTACTAGGGTTCCCTTTTATCCACATCCTCTCCAGCACTTGTCATTTGTTGATTTGTTGATGGTAGCCATTCTGACAGGTGTGAGGTGATACTTCATTGTCATTTTAATTTGCATCTCTCTGATGATCAGCAACACAGTATTTTTTCACATGTCTCTTGGCCTTCTGTGTGTCCACTTTGAAGAAGTGTCTATTTAGGTCCTTTGTCCATTTTTAATTGGATTGTTGGTCTTCCTTTTGTTAAGTTGTATGAGTTCCTTATATATTTTGGATGTTAACCCTTCCTTAGATGTATCATTGCCAAATACGTTCTCCCATACATTGGGCCCCTTTCTCGTTTTGTTGATGGTTTCTTTTGCTGTGCAGAAGCTTTTAATGTTGATATAGTACCATTTGTTTATTTTATCCTTAAAACTTTTCCTTTGCCCTAGATGTATCCATAAACATATTTCTACAAGAGATGTCTGAGATTTTGCTACTTATGGTTTCTTCTAGGATTTTTATGGTTTCCCAACTTTAAGTCTTATCCATTTTGAGTTTATCTTGTCTATGGTATATATCGGTGGTCTAATTTCAATTTTTTGAATGTATCTGTCCAATTTTCCCAACATCACTTATTGAAGAGACTGTCTTAACTCCATTGTATGGCTTGGGTAGATTTCTGGGTCTCTGTTCTGTTCCATTGGTCTTATGCCAATTCTTATGCCTGTTCTTGTGCCAATACCATGCTGTTTTGAAAAAGTATAGTGTCTTTGTAGTATAATTTGATATCTGGTATTGTGATTACTCCAACTTTGTTCTTCTTTCTCAAGATTACTGCAGCTATTAGGGCTTTTTTTTTTTTGTTCCATATAAATTTATGGAGTATTTGTTCTAGATCTACCAATCCATGAACACAGTATATTCTTCCACTTGTTTATATCTTCCACTATCTCTTTTTTCAACATCCTGTAGTTTTCCAAGTATAGGTCTTTTACCACCTTGGTTAAGTTTATTCCTAAGTATCTTAATTTTTTTGTTGCAATGGTAAATGAGATTGTTTAGTTTCTCTGTCTGAGAAGTCATTATCTATAATAATAAAAGAGTAATATGCAAATCAACCGAACAACCAAACAGCAGAACGACCATGCTATGACACACACTGGCACCAGGCCAGCCAAGGCAGGTGTGATGCAATTGGTTGGGGGGCCCACAATCACCCCACGATCACCCCACAGAGGGAGGCCCAGGCCACTTCTGCAGTGTGATCAATGGTGGTCTCCATGATCGATCGCCCCAAAGAGGGAGGCCCAGGCCATGCTCTGTGTGGCGATCGATCTTGGAGTCCTGGCCGGGTGGGCGAGGCCTCCCTCTGCAGGGCAATCAATCTGGGGGCCCCGTGATCGATTGCCCCACAGAAGGTGGCCCAGGCCAGCCAAGCGATCACACCCCATGCCTATCCCCCACAGAGGGAGGTGACTAGTGGCAGAGGAGGGAGTGCAGCCCAGCACAGATGGCAAGCGGTGGCAGTGGCAGGGGCGGGGCCAGCTGCTGGCAGCCAGGGGAAGGAAAGCCCCGATAGGCCCTGATTGCCGGCCAGGCTTGGGAACCTACCCAAAGGGTCCCGGATTGCTAGAGGGCACAGGCCGGGCTGAGGAACACCCCCCCCCCATACACGATTTTGTGCACCGGGCCTCTAATTGGTTTATAAAAAAGCCATAAATTTTTGCATGTTAATTTTGTATCCTGCTACATTGCCAAATTCATTTCTTAAATCTAGTAGTTTTTTGGTGGAGTCTTTAGCATTTTCTATGTACAGTATCATGTCATCTGCAAATAATGACAGTTTTACTTCCTCCTTTCCAATTTGGATGTCTTTTATTTCTTCTTCTTGTCTTATCGCTGTGGGTAGGACTTCCTTTACTATGTTGAAAAAGAGTGGTGAAAGCAGACTTCCCAGTCTTGTCCCTGTATTTATGGGGAATGCTTTTAGTTTTTCCCATTGAGTATGATGTTGGCTGTAGGTTTGTCAGACATAGCCTTTATCATGTTGAGATATACTCCCTCTATTCCCACTTAGCTGAGAGTTTTTATCAAAACTGGGTGTTGGATTTTGTCGAATGCTTTTTCTGCGTCTATTGATATGATCATGTGATTTTTGTCTTTCAATTTGTTTATGTGATGTATCACGTTTATTGATTTGCAAATATTGTACCAGCCTTGCATCCCTAGAATACACCCCACTTGGTCATGGTATATGATCTTTTTAATATATTTACTGGATCTAATTTGCTATTATATTGTTGAGGATTTTAGCATCTGTGTTCATCAGGGATATTAGCCAGTAATTCTCTTTCTTTGTAGTGTCTTTATCTGGTTTTGGAATTAGGATAACGCTGGCCTATAAAAAGAGCTTGTATACAAGCTTTCTCTTGTATTTTTTGGAATAGTTTTGAGTAGTATAGGTGTTAGTTCTTCCTTTAATGTTTGGTAAAACTCCCTGTGAAGCCATGTGGACCAGGTCTTTTGTTTGGTGGGAGTTTTTTAATTACTGCTTATATTTCATCAGTTATTGGCCTATTTAGGTTTTCTGATTCTTCCTGATTTGGTTTTGGGAGATTGTATTTTTCTAGGAAGTTGTCCATTTCATCCACATTGTCCAGCTTGTTGGCATCTAGTTGTTCATAGTATTTTCTTATAATCCTTCGTATTTCTGTGGTGTCAATGGTTACTTCTTCACTTTCATTTCTGATTTTATTTATTTGGATCCTCTCTCTTTGTTTCTTGATGAGTCTAGCTAATTTCATCAATCTTGTTTATCCTTTTAAAGAAATAGCTCAAGGTTTCATTATTTTATTTTATTTTTTTTTTGGTTTTGTAGTCCCTATGTCATTTATTTCTGCTCTAATCTTTATTATTTCCTTCCTTTTACTTACTCTGGGCTTTTCTTGTTGTTCTCTTTCTAATTCTTTAAGTTGTAGGGTTGATTAGTTTATTATTAATTTTTCTTATTTTTTCAGGTAGGCCTGTAGTGCTATGAACTTCCTTCTCAGGGCTGCTTTTGCTGTGTCCCAGAAATTTTGGGTTGTGTGTGTTCAGTTTTATTTGTTTCCAGGGAGTTTTTTATTTCTTTCTTGATCTCATTGGTAACCCATTCATCCTGTCTAATAAGGAAGGAATATGCTAATTGACTGCCCCGCCCTCAAAGATGGCAATGCCCACAGCCAATAAGGAAGAAATATGCTAATTGACGGCCCCATCCTCAAAGATGGTGGCACCCACAGCCAATAAGAAGGGAATATGCTAATTGACTGCCATGCCCTCAAAGATGGTGGCGCCCACAGCCACAAGGTGACCGGCAGGGGAGGGCAGTTGTGGGCGATCAGGCCAGCAGGGGAGGACAGTTAGGGGTGACCAGGCCAGCAGGGGAGGGCATTTGGGGCCGACCAGGCCTGCAGGTGAGGGCAGTTGGGGGGAACCAGGCCTGCAAGGGAGGGTAGTTAGGGGTGCCCGGGCTGGCAGGGGAGGGTAGTTGGGGGCTATCGGGCCGGCAGGAGAGTGGTTAGGGGGTGACCAGGCTGTCAGGCAGAAGCAGTTAGGGGCAATCAGGCAGGCAGGCAGGTGAGCAGTTGGGAGCCAGCAGTCCCAGATTGTGAGAGGAATGTCCAACTGCTGGTTTAAACCGGCAGTCAGACATCCCCCGAGGGGTCCCTGATTGGAGAGGGTGCAGGCTGGGCTGAGGGACACCCCCCAGTGCACAAATTTCATGCACCAGGCCTCTAGTTATTTAATAACATGCTATTTAGCCTTCTTGTGTTTGGATGTTTTTGAGTGTTTTTACTGTAGTTGATTTCTAATTTCATTCCACTGTGATCTGAGAAGATGCTTGATATGATTTCAGTCTTCTTGAACTTGTAGAAACGTTTTTTGTGTCCTAATGTGGTCTATCTTTCTGAATGTCCCATGTACACTTGAGAAGAATGTATATTCTGCAGCTCTGGGGTGAAATATTCTATAAATCTCAATTAAATTCATCTGATTCAGTGTGTCCTTTAGAGTCACTGTTTCCTTGTTAATTTTTTGTCTGGAAGATCTATCCAGTGAAGTCAGTGGGGTGTTATAACTGAATTGCTGTCAATCTCTCCCTTAAGGTCCTCTAGAAGTTTTTTTAATATATATAGATTCCTATATTGGGTGCATATATGTTTACTAGGGTTATATCCTCTTGTTGGATCTATCCTTTTAATATTCTGTAGTGACCTTTCTTTTTTCTCTTGTGATGGCCTTCATTTTGAAGTCTATTTTGTCATATATGAGTATTGCTACCCCAGCTTTATTTTTGTTTCCATTTA